TCGCACTATTAGACGATGGATTTCCGTTAATAGTAGTTACAACGAGGGATAATTCCGTTGTAGCGAGAAGATGATCCGAGGATCATCTCGGATGAAATCAAGCTGTGTGCTTGCATTGTTAGATGATGGATTTTCGCTAACGGTAGTTACAACGAGGGATAATTTCGTTGTAGCAGAAAGTGATCTACGGACCACCCGGATGATAAATAGAGTAGATCGGCTAATACCTGTGGTACTTGAGATTAAAATTTATGAGTATGGTGGGAAGTCAAAACAACATTGCATATCACGTGCATCACCCTACTTACCGAGCTTCGGCTCACCCCGTTGTTATTTTTATGTTGTGATGGAAAAAGGACAAGTTGGTATAGATGCGGTCGGCTCCTCCTAACCGGCTCATGTGAGGCACCATATATTAGTTTTTATTTTATCCGTAAATTTGAGGTATGGAGTTCGTGAGAAATTGAATATTTCATGTAATGTTTTACTAATATATTTAATTATGTGATGTAAATTTTATCTTAAGGAGTTATATATGTAATGTCTGTTAAAGTTTTAAAAATATCATAAGAGAACTACTTAGAGTTTAGGGTATGTCGACTTAACGCGCTTCGTCTAGTACTCTACTTGGGTAGTAGAAATATGACCAGGGCGGAGGCGTTACAATTAATGGGCTTGGACTTGAGTTAAAATGAAATGGGCTTGGATTTAAAAATAAAGTGGACTTAGATTAAAACAAATGGACTTGGGCTTGGATTAAAATAAATGGGCTTGGACTAATGTTAATGGGTTTGGACTTGAATTAAAATAAGATGGGCTTGGATTTAAAAATAAAGTGGACTTAGATTAAAACAAATGGACTTAGACTTGGATTAAAATAAATGGGCTTGGACTTGAGTTAAAATGAGATAGGCTTGGATTTAAAAATAAAATGGACCTATATTAAAACAAATGGACTTGGGCTTGGATTAATGTTAATAGGCTTGGACTTAAATAAAATAAACTTAGTAATGGACTTGGACTAAAATCAAAAGACTTGGTTTTAAAGTAGATGGGTTTAGACTAACGAAAATGGGCTTAGGCTAAAATAAGTGGACTTAGATAGAAAAAAAAGGATTTTAAAATTTTAAAGAAAATTTATTCTTTCATAGAGGAAAAAAAAAAAAGAATTGGACCTTCTTTAATTATTAATGAAACTAATAAACAATATTAATGAGTGGAGGTTGTGTTCCTGCTATGAGTACCATGATTGGTATGTGAGCGCCGAGTGAATCCCGAGTGATGGTCGGACCGTGAGTATGGCTTGAGAAAGAAGGGTCGGTATCCGAGTTTGGTTGAATGTGATTAAATATGTCATAACATGCATCATGTGCATTGGGGGTGGAAATAAATTGAGAAAAATCATTGAGTCTTGAATTGGCACGGTTTGGTAACCAAATTGAGTGGATTGGGTAATAGCAAGGAATCCATAGTGCGAGCTCTATTTACTAACACCGTTAAGCGAGGGATAATTTCGCTAACCGTGTGCTACAACGAGGGATAATTCCATTACGAGCGAGTAAGTGATATTGAGATCACCGAGAGAAAGTAATAGAGCGAGTAGGTAATAACATGATCACCGAGAGATTGGGCGCACGAACTTGCATATACCTAGGGTACCCGAATTAAAATGGATGAAAATATGGGAAACACAATAGCATTGCATATCACGTGTATCACCCTACTTACCGAGCTTTGGCTCATTCCGTTATTGTATTTGTGTGTTGTTCGAGCAAGGGCAAAGTTAAGCCGATCGAGGATGCTACCGGTTCTCGTTAAAAGAGGCTCATGTGTCACTCATAAAAATAGGAATATCTTTTGTGTCAATAAAAAGGGGTACGGGCCTAGGTTATAAATTTTTAGGCATTTTGAATATGTTTTAAATTATAGAACTATCCGTAATAATGTTGTAAATTATATTATATGTTTCTCATGGTTTAGTTTCTATTGTGTACGATGGAGGAAGTAGAGGACTTAATCCCAACAAGTGTGTCGCGCCGATCACGCTCGTTAGGTAATAGGTAAGGGAGCCGAGGACGTCACGGTTCTCTTCCAAAATTGTTTAAGTAACAAAGAAATTCATATGTATTAAGTCTTGTAATTTAGGACGGGTTTCTTATTTGCAATCCCACTCTATATATTTTTTCAATAGATCAATCGTAACTCTTATTTTTTCTTTTTAATTTACATGGCTTTTAATTGCTTTAAATGCAAGAGAGAGTAAGATAAAATAAATAAATAAACTACTTTATTATTTATTATATGCATGTTTACATAATACTTGTCACATGGTTCTTTTAATTGAAGTACAAATAAGAATGAATCTTAGTGTGCAATTGTATTCTTATTACAACCGACCTTTTCAAAACAAAATAACTTTTATTAATACACTTTAAACACTTTCCAATGTTCTTACTTTTATAATTCGAGTGATGTTCGTAAATCTTGTTTATTATTGTTTGTTGTTGTTAGAAAATTAATATAAAATCATTCTTTATATTCCATCTAACAACTTGAGTTGTTGGGTTGAGACTTGAAATAATTTTTAATATAATATCGAAGTCTTAATTAACAAACGACCATGAATTTAAATTTCACCACCCCATTCTCTCTTATGATTAAAATATAATAGAACGAAGTAGAATGAGTTTTGTTAAGTTTTAAACTACAAAAATTGTCACTTGAGGAGGGTGTGTTGTATCATTACTTAAATCTCGCATAATAACTAGAGAAATATTAAATTTTATAGTTAAATCTAGATTTCATTCAAAAGATTTAAATCTTGTTATAAATGACACATTTTAAACATTTTATATTGATTTTTATATCTTATATTTTATTTGATATGAGATATTTTCTCTAGTAATTGTAACTCAAAGTTATTCATACTTACCGTACTCTTTTCGAACATGTTTGTAGGTATGTTGGATGCATACGTGTGTTTCACGTATATGGATTTTGTATTTTATATTTTTTTGATTCATGGAATGATTAGTTTATGAACATGTTAGATATTTACGGTTCTATGCTTGAGTACTCATTTTGACATCAATTTTAACAAGTTTAGTGTTCTAGTTCTTTGGTAGTGTTTAATTAGTTTCTTTCAGCTTCTTTGGTGTGTCTTACTTTCTACTTTCTAATAGTGTTTTTGTTTTTAAATTCCTTAATAGATGGAACGTGAAAAAAAGAAAACAAATAGAGCAATTGCCATAATAATTATCAAAGAAAACAAAATGTTCTCAATCCATACTTATAGAAATAAAGAATTAAATGATAAAAGAAATAAATTATAATGATTCGTAACAACACCAAGGTTTGTAGCTAGGTTTTTTTTTTTTTTTTTTTAAAAAAAAATCAGTGCGATTGACAAGGGAATGTATAGCATAGAATCCTATTTAAAGTTAAACACGCATATGCTGAATTAATTATTTGTGCCATGAAAACAACATGTCATATGAGATCTAGTAAATTATAGCCATGCATAAAGGAGATATATCATGTATGTGTTGTGTAATGCAAAGTTTGATACTTAATAAATGCGTAACACGATAGATTCCTCAATCAAAACCTCTCGGTATATGTTGACGACTACGTGCAAACCCGAAAAGCTTTTTATATTGTTAATAAATAGAGAGAGAAAGAGAGAGAGGACGGAGAATGATTGCGATTCCATCTTTATAAACGTCTTAAAACCAATGGTTAAAAACAATTTTAATTGCTAAGAAAAATCTAATAATATAAAAATCATAAAAAAAAACCATTTAAAATATTCATAACATGGAGATGTATATGTGAGAAACAGGGCAGTAGCTAGTAAATAAATTTGATACATATTATTTCGAACTAGCCTTAAAAATTGAGCACAAATGATTTTGTTTAATATAATTATAATTCTTCACCCCAACTTAGAATTTGTCTAGTATTAATATCTTGTTTTTTATTATTTTGTTTTGATAACTCTAGTTTTAATATCTTGTTTATGATAAATTACTTTTTTTTATTTGACAATAATAGGTATTTTTAGACTAATTTATATATTAACGGAAACTAGAATTTTTTCTTTACAAGCTTAATGGTGTAGCTTTTACATAAATATGATGTAGTAAGAAAAATTTAATAAATTCTTCTCAATACTGATTAATATTTGAATAGAAAAAAACAAAAAAATAACTCGTTTACCATCACATAAATTATTTTTAGTTTTCTAACAAGTGGAATGACAAAATTCCACTAGATAATTCAAATATATGTAAAGGCCAAATCGTGGCAACAAAATTTAGTGGTAATTAACTTTAAAAACATATCTATTTTTTCCTGTCAAATTACAATTTTTATAAAACAATTTTTAATTAATTACCAACTTTATACTCCTATAAAATATTACCATGGATTTCAAGACTAATCCATTATTTCATAAAAATATTATTATTTTATCATTAAGCTCCAAGAATGATATAGAAGTAAGAGGTAATTAAAACTAAATTCTTTTAATGTATTCGGATGAAACAAAAATTGAAATATTAAAGTTAACATGCACTATAAAACAATTGAAAAAAATCGATATGTAGTTGTGTCGTTAAAATATTTAACAAATTTCTTTTCTTTAAACGAAGGTGCATGGAAGGATAACCGCTGCTAACAGACCTGAAGCGTAGGGGGTTGAATTAAGAAAGTTAGAAGATATTGGATTACTCTAAGAAAAATAAAAAGTACAGGGATCCTTGAGCTCATTTATGATCTGCCAATGATTGCAAGTAAAATCTGAAAGAATCGGGATGCCAACAGAATATAACCAACGAAGGGGGACACGATTGCAAATTTAGAAACCCTGCAACTAGGGTTTAAGCATTAACGGCCAATCTTTTTTTGAAAAAGAAAAGGAAAAAAAACAGGGTTTATCAGGGAAATTGAAGTAAACGTCCATAATTCCTTGTACTTCCCATCGACCTTTCTCTGTGAAGATGAATGCAGAAGAGAGCAATCCAATGGACTCTATAATCTCTGCTCTATCAGACAGCTTCAAGCAAGTCCCTTTGGCAGCTCTTCCAGCAATGCTTGATTGCATTTTAGCATCAACTGGATTATCTCCATATGCCCTTTTTGCTTCACTTCTTGATCCATTCTCTAACTTTATCAAGGTAATTCTTTCAGTGCTTATCTGGGTTTTTGCTTCCATTAAATTTTTTCATGCGGGTTCTTTATTAAGAGGCAGTTAGTGTAATTTTATATAGTTGAGTGTGTATGTGTTTTACGTTTTAATTTAGCTCTGTTTTACAGCAATTGGAGACAGGGTTGCTGAATTTTTCAAGTCATTTTCACTTTGCTTTGGTTGTTTTTTGAGAAAATGCCATACAAGAGCTTTTGAGCTGTTAACTTGGCATTCACAAACTAGAAAATGTTTAAATATTTTTACAATTTTATTATTTTTTAACTCACAGACCCAAGGTTCCTTGCAGAAGTCTGTTAGGATTTAAACTCGTGATTTTTTGTTGCAAGAGACCACTACTACTCAGCTACAAGCTCTTTGGTTTTTTACAATTCTATTTATTCACTCTTGGGTTTATGAAACAAAGGATAAAATTGCAGTAACTAGATGGAGCTAAGTTTTTTAATTGAAAAACAATGCGTGTATGATTGAAAAGTTTATTCTTCTTTTAGTCATAAATTTGTTAACAAGTCAATGCCAGGTTGGATTTAAGTTGAATTTCGGTCTGGTTGTTTTGCCTAGGACGTTAGTGAGAAGGACTTGAAGTTGGACTCTAGCATGCGTAACTACATCACATCCATGGTGGGTGCGCTTTGCTATCTTCTAAAAAATTTGGTGAGTAATCCTTAGCCCAGCATTGAAAATGGTTTTTTTGTTTGTTGATTTTTTGTCCATGGATGCATATCTAAGTAGAAGTATCGTGACAAGTCCCCACAGGCTTTCTTCAACACTTTAAGCAGGAATATTTTTGTCTGTTAGATTGTTGGGAAACAGCAGGAAGATAAATATATGCAGGATGTTATAACATTCAGTTTAAAGCCTGCCCATTACCGTATGGTTGGAAGGGAGGAAAGTGGGGGGAAGGAAATTGAGGGTGGAATACTACTTTTCTTGTTTTGGAAAACGAAGAGAAAATGGAGGGAAATGAACGCGAAAGGAAAAAATTCTCTTGGGCCACAAAAAATCAGTTTCTCCAATATGGAGAGGAAGTGAGGGTAAAATGAGTGCCCTTACCTATTTGCTCTATATGGCTACACAACAACTTGCCTTTTGAAAGAAAAATAAAGATAAATTTGAAATTTTGTAAATTTTCTCTTCATTTTTACCCCCTCCAAATTCCTTCCATAAAAATTACAATATCCTCGATAACTTTCTTTCTTCTCATTTCCAAACCTCCTTTATTGTGCTCCCAGACATTGTGAAAATTTCCACATTTTCACTAGTTTCCTTGTCTTTCATGCATAATTTCCCCTAATTTTCTGTGGTTTTTTGGACCTAAACTATAAGACCTATTTTGTATTTGACAGAGATCTAATACATAAAGTTGCTTTTGGTGAATTACACACGTGCACACACACACACATAAATTCTGGGTTGGGGGAGTGAAAGGTGGTGCCTGCTGTAGCCGTAAATGTGTGCAAAAAGTCAAGGAGCTAAAGAATGATTCGCGTGCTTGCAAGTGTTAAGTGGTGTTTGGTTGCTATAACATTTTAAAGGTGCAACGAAGGAATTGACAGGATCAACAGTCTAAGGGTGAACAATTGCCCATAGGGGGTGAGGGTAACATTGGACCCTGAACTTAACCTTCTGAGTTGTTGTCTCTGACACTTTTGGTTCTATGAGGAGGGAATGGGTGAATGACACTCCAGTAACTTTTCACCCCCTGTTCTGTCTATCAAATACAAACAGAATCTCGTGTTCCTAATTGATGCAATACCGAGCTTTCGTATTGTGAGCCTAGTGGAGCTCCAAATGTGCACCCCTAGGTTCAATGGTGGTTATAATTTGGTGCCAGTATGTTATCAATCATTTTTCCAATCATCTTTTTTTTATCATCTGTACTTTCTTTTTTTGCCTTTTCTACTGTGTTATTTCTCATTATATATGTTTTCGTCACTCAGTATCATTATTGTTGTTTTTGTTCTTAATTTGGGTAGTTGAATTAAATGGAAGTGGCTTTCTTATGTGGATTAAGAGCAAGTTGCTGCTAAACATACTCCTTATCTAGTTTCTAATTAATGTTTCTCCCCAGGAAATAATACTGATGGTCTGCAGTCATTTACCTGGAAATGTTTTATTCCGTTGATGAAGATGGTTCATGCATTTGAGCGTGAGATGCTTAATGAGGTAAAGTATTTAGCTGTTGTCACTCGTGCGTACTGGGTTCTTCATCATCTCATCCCTATCTACTTGTTCCTAACTGTCTATTTGGTTGCTTGTTCTGTTCAATTCTCGTCTTAGATTGCAGAGTCATTCTTTTGTGCTGTCAGCACAACTCATTCATGGGGTGTTTTGGAAGCAAACTTGGTGCCATTTTTTCTTAGATCAGTTGGTCTTTCTATTGGCATGTTTCAAAATGAAGAATCAGATGCCTTCGAATGGGGTCATTGCTCCGTTTTCCATGGTTTAAGTGACCTGAAAAATGATTTCGGATTGGATAAAGAGACCTTGCTGTCCCTACCGGGGTCCTTTCCTCTACCTATGTCATGCCATATTTTAACCTTAATCCTGGATGCTACTCTGCAAAGTTTCCAGGCAGTTTCAAGCACAAAATCAATGTTGGCAAATGGGTTCTGTTATGCCGAAAAGCTATTTACTAATTTGCTTTGGGATCTATGTAATATGAGTGAGCGATTGCTTTCACAAAGTTTGGAACATCGTTCTTGTACTATTGGATTTCTTCTTCCGATCATTTTCAAAGCATTTGGTTCTCATTGCTCTTTGGAAATCACAGTCCGTGGGAAAATGTTTGTACTTTCCAGGTAATGGATATGTGCTATGAACATTATTACATGCAGGAGTCTAATTGTTTTATTGCCTATTTGATTGCACATGCTTTCAACTTATGTGCTTTATTATGCAATGCTGACTCGTTTAAATGTATTCCAGAAACCTATTCTTTAGGAAAATTTGGAAGCGGTGCAGATCATTGTTTTCTCTTGGACCTTTAGAGAGAAGAGATGCCTATAATGTACTCTCTTTATACTTGTCCTTTTTCTCTTGTACAGAAGGATTTGGAAATGCTGATTCAAGTGTAAAAGCAGAAGGATTTGATGTAAGAGCTGAGAAGGAGTTTTGGGATGAAATAAAAAGGGGCCTGGTAATTGAGTACTTTTCTTGCTAATATTATGCCAGTGATCTTAGTGGTTCAGAATCTGAAAGACTCTCTCTGATTTTGTCATGGGTCTGTCAGGTTGATGAAGAAGGCCTGGTAAGGAAGCAATCATTACACATATTGAAGACATCACTACAGATAAGTGTTGGAAGCCAGTGCCACTCTGGGGTTTCAGAGAAGAAATCACGAGAAAAACTCCCAGTTACTCGTGATATGACAAAGAGGGAAATGTGGGCGGACAAGGAAGCTAAATCGTTGGGTGTAGGGGAACTCTGCAATTCAGCTGATTCTCCTTTAAACAGTCAGCAGCAGTGGGAAGCTTTTTTACTCCTGTATGAAATGCTTGAAGAGTATGGTACACACTTGGTAGAAGCTGCTTGGTGTCACCAGGTGCTCAATCAACTTTCTTTTATTTCTCTTTTCATCAATTGATTTATTTTGAGTGTCCTATGTGGAAAAATATGAGTTTAAAAGGTCGCATGGATGGCCAAAAGGGTACATAGCAAGAAAAAGAGTTTGGCTTTGCATAAAAGTTGATAATTCTTACCGTTAATTTATTGGTTCTCTTGCAAAAGGGAACATAATTAGCACTGAGTGTTTTTCTTGTGTCCTTTGTAACAACTAATTTATAATGGACCGACTAACCAATGCTGGTTTCTTGCAGTTAAACTTGTTGCTTCAGTTTTCTGTTTCAAACAATAATTTTACAAGCTCTATCTTCAGAGGTTTTCATCAAAATGAGAATGATATTTTGAGTGAAGCATTTAGTTGGGTGACAATTTTATGGCAACTGGGCTTTCGACATGATAATCCTCAAGGTACTTTTCATTTATTGGCCTAACTATGTGATCAGGTCAACAATTTTGATCATGGACAGTGATAGTTCATCATGAATCATGCAATATAGTTCTTCACCCAACTTTTCTTCCTTTGCCATTCCAGGCATGCGTTAGTTATTTATTTTGCCTCCTTTTGTTTTTTCTATGATAATGCAGTTAGGAGCTTGATCATGCAGTCGTTTTTGGGCATCGAGTGGATGAAGTATGGAGACTCTGCCAAATCAGTGTCTGAAAGTTTTGTTCTTGGGCCATTCGTCGAAGGGCTGGATGACCCTGTGCACCACAAAGATTTTGGTTTGTTTTCAAAATTTTTGGTCATAAATGCTAAATTCATTGATTGAATACTTTTTCCTTAATTATTTAGCTGTTTGATTGAACTGCATGGTACTGGCCACTGGCAACAAGGTGGAGAAGCCCGCCCTAGTGGCTCTAGATTTTGTCTGTCCCTGCTGCTTGCATTTGTAGATTTTCTTGACTTTTACCAATAAAAAGAAGAAAAAAAAAGAAAGATTTATCGCGTTTTTGTAATCATACAGTCCAGTACTGGAAATGATTTTATATATCAGGAGTTTTCTTCTCTGTTTTAGACTGTAATCTGCCTGTGCTGGCTAGTAATTGGGTAAAGTGCTAAAAGTTGAAAGTCTTGCAGTCCCCAGTTTCGCATTACTTTGGTGTCAACTAGCAGTTGTTTCAGGTGATCTCATTTTGAGAACTGCTGTGATTCTTATGCATAAAAAATAAAGTCCTCGGAATTCTTAAGGGGGGTTGAAATGTAATGTAACCTTTTTTGGGCCTTTCATTGGAGAGGAGGAAATAGAGTCACTCTCTTTGAACTTTTCATATTACTTCTTCAGTCAACAATATGCTCATTTGAATTTGCAAAGAGTTGCTCAAAAGGAAGATATTAGTAAATTCTTATGGGTGAGGCCAGCAAACTTGAGCTTTGTAGATTTTCATAAAATTTTGTAAACCTAGAAATAACCATAATAATTGTAGTTTTGTTTTGTTTTGTTTGTTTGTTTGTTTGTTTGTTTGTTTTTTTTGTTTTTTTTGTTTTGTTTTTTTTTTTTTTTCTGTCCCTTCTTCTTTTTATGCAAAGCCATTAAGTATTCCCTTTTGATAAGATTTTTTAATTTATTTTTCTGCTGTACTCATATTTCATTAGCAAAATTATGGTTGGAACATGATGGTTCATTAGACTAAATGTTAACATGATTTGTTTTTCTTTTTAGGTGTAAAAGGGGCTTACAATTCAAAGACTATTGGAGGTGCAGCCAGGTTTTTGCATCAATATACAAGTCACCTAAATACAAGGTATGCTATCCTGTGCCTGATAAGTTCACTACACAGGTGTTAATTAACTCACTTGTTTGTTTTGTGGAACCCAATTCATCTAATATTTGCTTCTTCATAGAACTTTATTAGTATATTTTATTGGATTAATTGATAGTTTAGCCTGCTATGTATAGCTTGGCTTACATTTGGGGTTCTATCCTTTTTTTTTTTTTTCCTTCATGTTTCTTCTTGGGTTCTCACAGAAAAGGGTCTGTATTATTTTGCATCCAAAACCTTTTTAATAGAATTGCAGAGTATAATGGATCTTTGTTTTTTTTTTTCTTTTTTCCTTCTAGGATTCAGAGTTGAGCTTTCAAAATGTTATACAGATGTTTAATTCTATTTATTTTTTGTTTAATTAGGTGGAATATTCTAGCATTAGGGTATTCTTATGTTGCTAATTGACTAAGAAGTTGATGTCAAAAAGCAACACTCCAGCGCTTGGGGGAATGAGAAGAAAAATTAAAAAAAACGCTGTCTATGAATTACTCTAAAAAAAAAATTTGCTTCTTGGAAAATAAAGTGGTTGATACATGTAATACGTTACTACTTGACTGAGAAGTGGACTCCTAAAAACAACACTCCAGTTAGTGGGGGCACAAGAAGAAAAATCATTGTCTGTGAATCAATATTGAAAAAAAGAAAAAAATTTTTAGAAAAGAAAGTGGGTAATACATGTAGTTGACTTCATGTGGTTTGCAGGGAAGGGATTGCCTTTCTGCATAGTTTAGCATCTGTTGCCAAACATCACTCATTTGGTCGAGCCGGATTAATGGGTCTTGCAGAATGTATTGCTTCAGCTGCACATGGAGTAGGAAGGCATGATAGAGGAGAAAAATGGAGTGAAGATGCTTTTCCTGATGAGGTGCAGGTGGAATCCTCTCTAGAAAGTTTTTCTGATTGTAGAACAGCCTTGTTGGATGTTCTGAGAGTTGTTATTGAGAGCAGCAAACAACATTTCAACCCTAATTATCGTCTTCAAGGTCTGCAATAAATATTCTAATTAGATTATAACATATGTGCATTTAGTCGAAGTTCCACCTGTACCATCCTGAAAATGATTGTGTTGGTTCCTTTTTTTTTTTTTTTTTCCAGTTTGTGAGAAAGTTCTGGAGGCTGCTGCTTTGCTGGTTGGTACACTTGATGTGCCTCTTGAGATTCTCTTGCACTTCATTGCTACATTACCACGGGAATTTACTGATTATGGGGGTAACCATGCCATATGGATTAATGTCTCCATGTTCACTTCAGTAATATATTTGTTTCCAGCTGACTTGAGTTGTCTTGCTTGTTTGTTTTTATGGTTGTTCTGCTCCACCGTAAGATCATCTTTTCCTCTTCTTGCACCATGTACATGCTAGCATTTTGCTTCCATGGCTTGGTACCAATAGGCAACCTCTGTTATGTTTGTACCATTTTTTTTTCCTTGTGTTTACTCTTTATCAAAATGCTTGGCTGTGCCTTTTTATAAACATACTTACATCATTACATGTATATCTTATGAAATCCTTTCTTGCTGCTAAGGAATAGAAATCACGGTTACTTATTGGGTTCAGATGGCGTTGGAACAGTGCACCTTCAATTTGGTTAGATGTCCATTTGACAACTATTTTTAACTCAGCGAAGCATAAATTAAATTTGCTCTTTAGTGGGCTACTGAGCATGGGGGCCTCGTCCTAAAAAGGCAAGGTGGGTCCTCATCGACCCAAAGGGCTGGTGTGATTTGGCACAGCTAATCTCAAGCCGTGGACCAAAGGGACCCATAGATCTCTCACTGCTTGTAAATATGAAGAAAAAAAAAAAAAACTAAATTCGCTCTTTAAAATACATGTTTATGAGTTCAGGTTCTATGCTTTATGGTGGCTGTCTGCTGATCACATCCCCTTTATACGTGCTTGTCCAGAGGTCACTGGCATTGAATACTTAGTGAATTTCACAAATAACTGTGATGTTATGTTCAAATTGAGTATGATAAACTGCTGACAATTGCAATTTTTACTAAATTTTTGTATTTAGTAAAATGGGTTCTTATATGTTTAGGTAGTTTCACTGAGTGCTTGTCTTCAATTTTTAATTTTTATTTCTAATTATGTCGTGGAAGATTTTTTCACACCTCTCTTTCTCCGTCAGGTTCTTTAAGATCAAAAACACAAGAATGGCTCTTGGGGTCAGCTATGGAACATTGTAGTGCAAATCGATGTGGTGCTGGGATTCAACTTCTGACAAATCTTCAGGACTTCCCAGAAAGGTTTACAAGTTCTCAATATTTGGTTGATGGTTTCTTGAGTTTTGATGACGAAGACTTGGATGCTTGGGAATCTGAAGCAAGAAGATGGGCAAGAGCACTTTTTCTTATAATCAAGGGGGAGCATCAATTAGCACCGATATTGAGAGTATGCCATCTTCCATTGCCTTTTGCTAATTCTTACTGCCTTTTATGGCATTTCACACTACATTTTGATGGAAGGGGATGTACTTGAAAAAATTGTTAATGGCATGCCTAAGTATCTTGATTTACCAGTAAAAATGTGGATAGGGGCCATTGCTTTGTGCAATGTTAAATGTTGTGGACTTGCAAGCAAAAGGTTGTAGCTTGTAGTCAAGAGCAGCCACTTCTTGTAAAAAATCGTGAAGGGCAGGACTGCCTCCAAATTCTCTCTCTTAAGATACCCCTGTGATGGAACCCTGATTATGTGTTAATTAAAGTGAAAATGCTGATGATATTTAAGAATTTGATTTTCATTGGTATATGGTCCGATATATAGCTTGTTATATGCACATTGAGATATTATATTTCGGTGTGTTAAATTTATTGGTACTTGTAAATATTAGCGGTTCAGATAAGGACAACACACGTTACACACCCCATTCATGCTGTGTGAACGACAACTTTCCTTTTATTCACAATAGTGATATTCTAGTTTTCATATTTCATAACTTATGTATTTTCAGATTGTCAGAAATAGCATTCTGCTTCATTACAGCCAAACTTCCTATTGTCATGCAAAACATTCTGTGTCCAGGTGCTCTTGTGGCCTCACTGCCTTGATGAGGCACATTTTTTCCTTCAGTGTTTTTTGTTTTTTCATCTAAGGTCTGGGAAGCGAACCAATGGGAAGCCTTTTTTTTTTTTTTTTTTTTTTGCCAACTAGAAGGAAGAAAGACCAACCTGCTGTTTTCACATGACAAAACTTATGGATATGATGTGCTTTTACAATTGGGCTAATAATTTGTTGGCCTCTTGTGTAACAGTATAATATCCTGTTGTGTACTTGATATTGTCTTTTTTGTATATTCCGACACTTGTTTGTGTTTATTTTTGCAGTTTATTCAAAATTGTGGTGTCAACATCTGCAAACAACACAGCCATTTAGAATGGTTACCTGTGAAGTTTCTTGTCCTTGCAAGGAGCTTGGTTGCGGAGATTCAAATAATGCAGGAGAGATCAGCTCAACGTGGTATCAGAATTAAATACAGATCAGAGATGAGCTTGGTTCATAAAGTGGATCAATTGTGTTTTGCAGAAGCTTCCATGATTAATGAAAGAATTCATGGCCTTTTCCTGTTCATATTGGTATTGAGAACTACTTCTGCAATTGTCAATGCTTCATGATTTGGCTCTATGTAACATTTTATTGATGGTACTCAATGACACAACCCCTTTTTCCCTGTGGCTTGTAGGAGGAGCTGGTTTCTTTTGCTGACATGTCTTCTTCCACATTCTGGTCTAGCATTTCTAAGGAGACAACTCTGCCTGGTTCTGTGAGCGGAAAGCTTGGAGGCCGTAGTCAACGTCGGTTGTCATCTTCTACCACCACTGCTATATTGCAAGCTGTATGTTTTCCTTGGTTTCTTTTGTTTAAACTTGATCTGTTGCTGAAGCATGAAAAAAGTATGTTCATGTACACACAAACACATATTTGGGCTATATTGTTGTTACTCCAGCACAATTATTGTCTTCTACATTTTTCCTGGAGGTAAAATACTGTGGTCATTGCTATATATTGGTCACAAGGTGGAGTCTAACAATGTCTAATATTTGTTCTTCCTCTTTGAACTATCAAAACTCTTCTACATCTTTCCTGGAGGTAATAAACTCTGGCCATTGCTATTTATAAGTCACAAGGTGGAATCCAACAATGTCTGATTTTTCTTTTCGTCAACAAACTCTTGTTTTGATACTGTGTACTTGCATTGTTCACAAATCATTTTTATTTAGATTCTATGTGGTCATAATTACTGTTTTCTTTTTCACATTCTTTCTCTGGTTTTGTGTAGTTACCTCAGAAAGTTACTACTATTCTATTGGATATTTTAGATTTATATTTTTTGTTGGACTTAAATCTATTTTTGTTTAGATTGTTATATTGTGGATCAGTCCTAGTTGAGTGTAGCATCTCCTTTAACCTTGGTATTAAAAAATTCCCTATTGAATGTTTATGAGGCTTTTATAAATTTTCGGTTATTGAGGACTGCGTATTTTTAGCTGAATTGATTCACAACTTTTTCTGCTTTTGGCCAGTTAACGATCATGCTTTAGCCTTATTTTTGTTGCCTAACTTGTTTTGCACTAATACATTTCTGTAGTTATTGGTTTGTTCTTTCTTGAATTGTTTGCTTGCATTTTATCTGCTGATAAATATCCGATATTTGTTAATTGTCAATTGCTTTTCTTATAGAAGCATGTTATGGATATGTTTTCCCTTTATGATGAGTAGATAACTTCAATGCGAGCGATTGCATCTATTTCATCCTGGTGCGCACAGTTTAAAAGTAATGTTAAGCTCAGTTCTGTGTGGACCTTTTTGTGGAAATTCTTCTGGAAGACTGTTTCCTCTCCAACTTGTGATTCTGAGGTTTGTAGTAACTTCAATGGACCTTATGTCTTAAAATTTTTATAGTTTGTTTGAGCTAACTATTGGATTGATTTAAATGCTTCATATCAGGCAGGAGCAGAAATTTGTCTGGCAGCATATGAAGCATTAGCTCCTGTTTTAAGAGCTCTAGTGTCGACATCCTCTGCACTATCTTTGGATCTCATTACAGAAAACAATGAATTTTTGGCATCTGCAGTAGAAGTCAAATGCTGTTTAGATTCTTTGGCTCATTCTTTTCTTCAGAATATCAATAATCTCCTTGGAGTTGGAGTTCTTGCACGAACTCGACGGGCAGTTTTGCTAAACTGGAAGGTAAAGAATCTTTCATTCATGAGTCCCCGGGATGGCAATGGGCGGGTACCCGGCCCATTAATTCAATTTTTTACCTTACCGATCAAAAGAATACCTTACTCATTACCTATTAAGAAATCATCATATAAATCTTTAACCTGCGCATACTAGTTTACCCACCCATTTAATACCCATTAAATACTCGCTAAATTTAATTTATATTAAGAAATCATCATATAAATCTTTAACCTGCGCATACTAGTTTACCCGCCCATTTAATACCCATTAAATGCCCGCTAAATTTAATTTATCAAAAATATTTATTTAGTCCCTATAATTTTAAGAAAATTTTATTTGATCCCTTTTTTGCCTTTTGATAATTTATTTATAAGTTTTTTTGGTCCTCAAAGGTTTCATAAAAAATATTTTGATCCTTAATTTTTAAAATTTGTGCAACTAAATCCCTACATTTTAATAAAAAAATCTAAATAAATTAGTGAGTATTAATGGGGTAAAGAGTGGGTACCCATACCTTGAAACCATATTAGTGAGTATGCATTTTTTTTTTATTCTTGCCCACTTCAATACACATTGGACATTCTTAATAAATATTTATTGGGCCGGGTAAAGTGGGCACCTGTTTTATACTCGGCCAGTGCCATCCCTACTCATGACTTCTATTTTAACTTGTTGTTTGGTGCTTGGATGGCTTGGGCTGCTAGTTTCCATTGCTGTTTGTCTTTGCATCGCAATTTTGGAGTTAACTTTTTGAAATATAGGAAATTTTGTTCCTTCTTTTCTATTTTTTTATTGACTATCCAGTCTTCATTTGTTTCCCCTTCTTTATTTCATGTGATTAAAATGACATTCCTTCTTTAATTGGTTATGACCATGTTCAATAGTTAATTCCATTCGTAATGCCATTCACGTGGCACTAACTTTCTCTTACTAATGACTTCCCTTCTTCCGAAGACCGAAGACTTCATCATTGTCTTCTAGTGGCTTGTTAACATTGCATACATCATCTGAAATTCCCCTTACTCAATGATGAAAATAAATAATTTAATTCATCTGTTGGTACTTATTCAGTGGATTTGCCTGGAGTCTCTATTGTCAATTCCTTACTCTGCTTTTGGGAATGTGCTAAATCTGGAGGATGGCAGCTTGTTCTTCTCGGAGGCAGCAATCGGATGTATTTTCAGTGACCTTGTCGAAAGGTAAGAAGGAAGGTGCCTTTCCTTTTAGCATTTATTTTCCCGAGTATTTTACCCTTCTTGCTTAAAATCTCTTGGCAATGACTGCTTTGAAATAGTGCAGTTATGTAGTCTGCTAATATCCCAATGTTATTGTTGCTTATGTTCATGTTACGGTAGTTGAATCTCCATTTGTAATAGACGCAACTAGTATTTTTACCAGCGCTACGTTGCGGGTCGGACAGAACACTTAAAATTATTTAAAAAAATTATTTCAGTTTGATGCCTCTTGTTATATTGTGTGTTTACCAAATCAAATCAAAACTGAATAAAAATTCATTCAGTTTATAATTTTTTAATCAAAATTTTGTATTTGATTGATTATTCTTTATATTTTTCATAATTTTTTGATTAAAAAAGCATTATTTATCTATCTTTATTCACATTCTTAACTAAAAAAATTTATAATAATGTAAGAAAAAAAATGTCAAAATCAATGGATTCTTAGCTAAAAACCTTATTTTTCTAAATTTCTTTTTTCTAAACATTTTTTGTTTTAAAAATTTTAATTAAAAAAATTCAGAGGAAAAAAGGACCAAAGTGACCAAAATGAAACAAAAAAAAATTGTGGACCGAAGAAACAATGTTTAAAAAAGCAGAACCAAAGTGTAATGCCACAAAAACTTTCATAATAAATATCGTTAGAAAGTTTGAAAACTATAAAAATGCCATTGTATAGTAAAAGTAAGAATACATGTAAGTCTGTATGTATAGTGATATAGTAAAAGTAACAATACATATAAGTCTGTATGAATAGTGAAATGAGTCAGGGTGAATAGTTGTTGGAATAGTGCCAATGAATAGTAAACCAACATTCTACTTAAGTTTTTTTTTTTTTGTTGTTAATTTGAAGAAAAAAACATCTCTCACAAATTTTCTTTCACTAATTTGCAGCCTTGAGAATGCTGGGGAAGCTTCTGTTTTACCCATGCTGAGATCTGTCAGATTGGCTTTGGGCCTGCTTGCTTCAGGAAAGTTAGACAACTCATGTGTTTCCTCATGCACTGGTGTGGATGTTCAGGTTCATCTCATATTTTACTTCTGTCTTTATTTGTTTGTGCTCTTGCCTTTGCGGGATCGTGTGCTTGATATGTGCGTCTGTAATGCAACACAGAAAATCCTTGTCACAAGCCTAATGTAGGCAGAGTGATGTTCTGGCTATACTAGCATGGTGCTATACTATTGATCATAGTTGTTTTACTAGGAATGGGGGTTAGATGAGTCAAAAGCATTCAATCCAAGAGCAATAATTGGAGAGGTCCATGTACTCCCTTATAAACTTTAAACTTGACCAAGATTACAAAACATGGACCTAGAATGCAGCAAACAAGAAAACACAACACATCAATGGCATGCTCTGGTATTATGAATGTCAACTGGAATTTTAAGCTGATAGATTTGAGATGCCCATGCACTATCTGCAGCCATTGTAAACTATATAGTGAATATAGGGCTCCTAGAGGATGGAGTTTATTTGTTTGTGCAACCTCTTTATGCATTTCTTTAAGCCTTTTCACACAGCTTCTGAACCTTGCATTAGGTGGCTCTGACTGTTGATCTTTGTAAAAGTTATGCTATACTTTAAATTTTACACTTGACAGGTATGGATGTTTTGGTGGAAAAGAGGGTTGGAGTGTGCTATTATGGCTTTCTTTTAAATAAATGCATTTCAATCATTAACCCTTTCACTACTCTTTTTAACTCTGGATTTGTTGCTGATGCTTTATGTACATTTTGCAGTGGCTTTAATTTTGCGACACATCGTATCTTGCTTTTGATGTCATAGTTTACTATCCGTTATATGCTATGCGGGATTTCATGATTGTAGATCACCTTTTGGCTAGTAAAATCCACTGCCCACCCGCCAGGGCAGGTAGAAATAAGGAATCTGTAATATGTACTATTTAGAATGCACAGTGCCTTTTAGTTCTTTTGATTGGGAATCAAAATTCATAAGCTGTTCAGTACAAACTGTTATTGATGTTATGTGTAGTTCCTGGGGGCCTACCCTGGTGGATGATTGTTGGAACTTAAATTGGAGTTAGTGTTGCTTTGCCATGCATTCTTGAGTGCAATAGCTTGTATTCCAAAACCAATATTTGCTCTTCTTCTTTTTTTCCCCCTTATGTGGCATCAAAAGGTGGACAATGGCCTTTGTAAGAATTCTGCCTTTTATTTATTTGTTTATTTTTGTTTCTTATCTTCATCAAAATCTTTACTTGTTTTTGTTGCATTTAAATTACTTATCGTCATAGTTTTTAGCTTTATGCATGTATTGCTACCCTTGTTCTGAAGTAAACCTTCATATTTTTCCTTAATTTTCAAATTTTACATTCTTTGTTGCTTATGTTGTTTTCTTCAAATAAAAGAACTGGACCTTTTTTTGACAGACCTATTGGGTGAATCTCAATGTTGATGCAGATGATGTGGCATTTGGTTAATTCATCTTGGATATTGCATGCCAATTGCAACAAGCGGAGAGTTGCATCAATTGCTGCACTTTTGTCTTCTGTTTTGCACCATTCTGTGTTCACTGTTGAGGTCATGCATTTAATCAACAATGCGCCTGGGCCTCTAAAGTGGGTATGTCCTTCCACCACAATTGATACATTCCATTGGCTAACCATGGTCACTATGTTATCTATTGATTATTTTTGCAGTTTGTTGAAAATGTTCTGGAGGAAGGTACAAAAAGTCCTCGTACAATTCGCCTTGCAGCATTGCATTTAACAGGGCTGTGGCTCTCTTATCCAAGGACTATTAAGTATTACATGAAAGAGCTAAAGTTGCTGACGCTTTATGGTTCTGGTGTGTGGCATGCTTCTTATCCTATATCACTTTCTTAAGTTCATTTTTTTTCGTTGTTTAGTATTACAAAAATATTTCGAATCTGAGAACTTTCTTGTTTAGTTGCATTTGATGAGGATTTTGAAGCTGAGTTATCTGACAATCAAGATGCAAGTACTGAAGTGTCATTATTGGCGAAAAGCCCAGACCCTGAGCTGACTGAAGTAAGTAGTTCAATTTATCAATTTCATTTTCTTGTATGAAATGGTTACTTGAGAAGGATTTGCACAATTAATAAAAAATTTGGGCATAAAATCACCTTATAGTTGCTTTTGGTCTGAGGATAAGATTATCAAAAAACAAAGGGAAGGAACTTGTTTGTTATTTATCAGAGAAAACTATTGGTAAATGAGCTTATTTATCAAAAAAAAAAAAAAAAGGAGATATCAACCCCGAACCCTTGCAAAATGCTTAATATATCAGAGACAACAATTTGTGCTATAAAGAACTTAAGGGTAAACCAAATGTAGACCTCAAAACTGGCCCTATTTTCACAAGCTCAATAAAAGGGAAACACAGAAGCTTTTGTTGGTGCAGTGATTGTAAATGTGAAAACTTTGGAAGAACAATTTTTATTTTTTTACATTTTTTGTTTTGATAAATTAAGCTTGATAGCTTAGTACACCTCTTTAATCTTTGCTAAATATATCTTCCAATCTTTAATATCACACAATGATATAAAGTACCTCTTTGGGTAGGTTTCCTTCTTCTTGTTCATTTTCTTTTGGACTTTGAAAAACATGTCACCTGTCATCAATTTTGTTGAGCATCTCATTTGACGTTAATTTATTTAGGCATCTGTGGAAACTGAATGCTGGTATTGTTAATTATTTGGTTTGGTGCTTGTGTTGTTGCTGTATGGAGTTCTTGATCATGTTGCTCTGATTCATGACTTCTCTTATAGGCATTCATCAACACAGAATTGTACGCACGTGTATCTGTAGCCATTCTTTTTTACAAGCTTGCTGACTTGGCCAGTTTGGTGGGATCAGCAAATGAAAATGAAGATTGTCATGCTGCTCTCGAATCTGGAAAATTGTTTCTGCTAAAGCTTCTTGATTCTGCGGTATTAATTACAATTCTTGCCTCAAATGGGAAAACACTTTGTGTTAAGAGATGTTACTTGGATTTCTTATGGTTGCTTCTTAACCCAGATATTTTTCTTGTGAGTCTAGACTTTGTGATCTATTATTATGCATTTTTATGCCCCACAACCCATGCAGTTGGAATTCACATATCTAATTTTACCCTTTAAAGAATTGGTAGGTGATTTATGTGATGCTTGGATGTTTTTCAATTACTGATTTTAGTTGAACGTTTTGTGCTATGATGGGCATTTACCATTCATCTCCATCAAGGGGGAGTTGATCTTTCTCAAGAATCTTGTTGCCAAAAGAAAATGCAACAGAGATTGAACATCTCCACTAAATCACAAGAAAATGCACAACATTGCTACTAATGCAGCCTCGTTACTCACTGGAGAGGCTTGATCACACTTTTTTTGGTTTTGCATTTTCTGGATGTCTGTGAAATAGCTTTTTGCTTTTGGCGGCAAGCATTGGTTAGTTCTGATTACAGTGGAGGAGTTGTGTTGGTTCATCTTTTGGGTTTTGGTAGAAGGAAGGGATCCACACTTATACCACAGTATGCTCTTTTCATAGTGATTTGGTGCCTCTGGTGGTAGTGGAACTTAAAAATTGATCCCTTGCCAGTGCAATTTTTTGTGGGGTAGAATTGCTTTATGAGCACAGTGTAAAAATCTGGACGTTGAAGGTTTCTTTAGCTGACATTTGACTGGGAAGTGTTTCAATTTTGTACCCCTGCATTTCTCCTATTGCATATGCCTAATCCTCATTTAAATTCTTACTTTCTTTCTATTTCAAAAAAAAAAAAAACTCTTCTTTTCGGTTTTTTATCGAAAATTTTGTTTCTTGTCGCCAGAGACATTTTGTTTGGTACATTGTTGATTTGTTCATAAATGTAAGCGAAGGCTTGTGTGCTTCTGTTTGTGTTGCTGGTAGTTTCCTCGATCTGCAACCTCTTTGCCTCTGGCATGGTGTATATGGAACCAAGATACTTTACAAATTGCTCTGTTGCACTTGTTTAGCTAAAGGTCTAATGCTAAAAGAAGTGTTTGTGGACAAGGAGTTGCTTAATTCAGAATGCTTGCATCACATCATTTTTAAATACTATAGGGAGATATAGCTAAATTCTTCACATTGCTAAACTGGTGCATATCCGTTTTGTTCAATAGAATATCTCATACTTTATCATTGGACATTGGTCTTGACTGCATTAATGTTGATGCAGGTGAATGACAAAGATCTTGCTAAGGAGTTGTATAAAAAGTACAGCGGGGTGAGTAATAATTCATACGCGATTCACAATTGAAAGTTGGCAATAAAAAATATCTACAATTATTTGAAATCAAGTATATGATGTGGAAATAAAATAAAAATCTGTATCTCTTGCTTGAAAAACAAAAGAACTTATTGGTTAACGTGGTAATCATTGTTATAACAAGGTCAGCAAATTGTGACAGTTCCATTATTTATTGAACTGAGCATATTTAAACACTTGAAAAGTTGGGAATCACATTGTTTAGAAAAATAAAAGATTTTGAATCATAATGGTTGTTACAAGTTCTTCTCTTGTAATATTGTTTATATTTGCAAAGTCAATCTTTGCTGCTATGCTATCTTGTTAATTTGCGCATTTATTTTGAACAGATCCATAGACGTAAAATACGTGCTTGGCAAATGATTTGTGTTCTGTCACAATTTGTTACTGATGATATAGTTGGGCAAGTTACTCACAGCTTGCACATATCCCTCTACGTAAGTGTTGGTCCGCAACATTATTAGTCCTTTTATATGCAAATAAATAAATTTTGCTAAACGACTGATTAGGTTCTTATTACCTCAGTTTATTGTGTATTCCCTGTCAATCTTGGTTAGTGTGGATATGATTTATATGAATCATGGAGTACCCAAGTTTCCACCTCCAGTCAATCGAGGAAAAAAAAAAAAAACTGTGGTCACTTGTCAGTGAAATCCATAACCACAGAAAGAGACAAGGCAGCCTTTGCAATAATAAATATACCGTTTATTGGCTTATTGCTATTGTCTAACATGAATGATTTGTTTCTTGCATCCTTTTCCAGAGAAACAATTTACCTGCAGTTCGTCAATACTTGGAAACTTTTGCAATTAACATCTACCTGAAATTCCCATTGTTGGTAAGAAATTTTATGTTTGTTTTGGGTAAATGTAGAATCTTTGTGCTTGGGGCTGTACACCTTTTTCATTTTACTGCATCCCCCCACCCCCTCCTTCATTCCCTCCTTTGTCAAGCAAGAAATCCAGTAAAGAGCGCTGGAGGAAAATGGGCTCTGTACAGAGAAAGTGTTGACAGGGATGCACTATAAAGATCTATAATGTAGACAACCCAATACAAGTATTGAAGTGGAATATCTGTGAAGAATGGTAGTATTTGTGTGGAGAGTGGTGTTGCCTTGTGTATAGTGGAACTTTGAGGGAATAATGCAAAATTTGTAACTGCATGAAAAAAAATGGAGCAAGCTGATATGAAAACCACATCTTTCTAGGAATAAAACTTTCAAGCAACCTGACAGATAAAAAAAAATGTTTCCTCTCCTCTGTGCATATAGAAGCATATTAAACAAATAAATTACCTCTGCCTCCATTTGACAATATCATCACATGTGAGAATCTTTAAGGAGCAAGTTAGAAACAAAGTGCCAAATAAAAAAAAAATCTACTTTAAACGGAGTTGAAGTTATTCACATATCCTTCTGGGATAATCTATTACCCTGGGCTTCTGCTGCCTTGTTGCATTAATGCAACTTAAAATAATAAATAAGTAGAGCAATGAATAAATTAATGAACCAAAGAAACAATAAAGAAATAAATTTAAACTATTACGCTGCTAGTCAGATGCCAAATTGGAAATGGCATAAGACAATCTTATAAGCTTGATATTCTAGGGTCTCTTTGTTAGGACTAGTGGTGATCTTCATTGTAGATTGTTTGGAGGGTGCATAAAACCTGGCAGACATAGTCTATTCCCAAAATGACTTGATAACTGCATACATATGTAAACTGTGTTGGTATCCAACTTCAGATGCTTGTAGTTGACCTCTTCGTGGAGAAAGCCACAAGCCTAAAATCGGAAAGTGTTTAACTCTAGCATCATAATGATCTTTTTTTTATTTTTTTTATTTTTTATTTTTTTCAGAAAATGGATTGAAAAAGAATATCTTGCTTTCTATGTTGGCAAGCAGTTCTTTTTCCCTTTTCCTTTCAGTTCCACCTACAAATTAATTCTTAAATCCCCAATTGCCTAAAATCAACAACCCTTACACCAATTGGTCATCTTAGAATTTTAATATGCTGACTCACATCAGGCTTCTTGAGGTGAGTCCATGCGCTTTTGTGTCATGATTCTTCTGCAATAAATGCTACCTTGCAAATAGATTGGAGTTAGTAACTCAATATTGTGGTGGAGTTTGGTGGGCTTTTCAATCTTTTGCTTTTATTGCTTCTCGTGTTTAGGTGTTATTATCTCATTGGTTACTTGTATTAATTAAAGTGACTTTATTTTAATCCTATATTTCTGCTTAATTATCAGGTCAGGGAACAATTAGTTCCTATATTACGAGATTATGACATGAAGCCTCAGGTAATTCTATTTTTGAGTGAATAGCCCTTCTCGCATCTTAACTTTTTGTTATAGTTTGATACAAGCTGAAACAGTCATAGGGTCATAATATGAAAATTTGCAACTTACATGCAGGAAATGTAATTTCAGGTTAGATGCTCTCATTTGAGAGCTTTTGCACTTTGCTATGGCATCATTTTCTTGCTAGAAAGAATAACGTTAATTGAATTTACTGTGACTCATAAATAAATTCCAGCAAAAATACTCTTTTATTTCAAGAAGTTGCACAAAGTAGGGTAACCTATTTGGGTAAGTGATCACATCTGAGATTATTTAATCACATTAACCAATAACCATCCTAGGAGCCACAACTTGTGTTGAATAAACCTCTAAGGTACAGTGAAAAACTATCAAGGTATCATGGAATGCATGGCTTAGTAGCAACATATGCAGCTTGTTAATGGTTTCGACTATTAACTTTATAACACGTGATCCTGTGACTTTTTTTTCCTGATGTTCTTTCAGTTTAAACATTACAAACAAATTTATTCTTGTTTTACCTCTTTTTAATGTTTTGTTTATCATATCAAAATAGGTACAAAGGGAGGTTAAGATTGGTATTTTAAAATGTGCCATTGCTTGTTATAAGTGTGCATGGATTATGAATTTGTCATATACAGTTTGGTGGGTAAACTTGTCGCAGGACATGTCAGCCCAACTTTTACAGAAACATGATTAGATAAGCCCAAATCATTATTTCATATTATGTCGATATTTTCACCTATAGACAACCCCTATTGTTTTTGAACTTACATTTACTTGTAGCAATGTTTTTAATCAAACAAACAAACATGACCAACCACCCTTGGAAAAAATTGTCAAATGGTCTCTTTTTTAGTAGGGTTGAGTGTAAATTCATCTTAAAGCATTTTATCAATCCATTGTTAACCAAAATATATTCTCAAGTTTGAAATAAAAATACAAAATGCTGATGTTTTCATGAAGTTGTTAACATGCAGAATAATGCTTCTTTCATATATTCTAATCACATATATATATACAAGGATCTATAAATGGTAAATAGATTAAACATACAATTGTGTGTATATTCCTAATTTAAGAAAGACTATACAGGAAATATACAGAATAGGAAGTAGGAAAGAATACAGCTTATTACCCATAACTCTCCCCCTCAAGTTAGGGCGTAGATATCATGCATGTCCAACTTGGATAGCGAAGTATAGAATGGTCCACTAGTGACAGCATAAGTCATAATGTCAGGCAACTGATCCGAACTTCTGGTATAAGGAATCTCTATTATGCTAGAATCAAGATTATCTTTGATATAGTTCCTGTCAAGCTCAACATGCTTAGTTCGATCATATTGTACTAGATTATTAGCAATCTCAATGGCTACTTTGTTATCACAAAACAGCACCATAGGTCTTTTTGGACCAAACCCGAGTTCCTCTTAAGAGAATTTTCCACCAAGAAAGTTCAGTAATTGCATGATGCATAGCATGATATTCAGCTTCTACACTAGATAATAAAACAACATTCTGTTTTTTACTTCTTCTACTCACCAAGTTGCGTCCAACAAACAAACAAATATCCGAAAGTAGATTTTCTATCTAGTCCATTACCAGCAAAATCAGTTTGTATAACTCACAACATCAAGATGACCATGTTTGGAGAATAAAACACCTTTTCCTGGAGCTGGTTTTAAATAAGCTAGAATTCGATTCACATCATTCATGTGTTGATCACTTGGATTGTGCATAAACTGACTCACACTGCTGACTGTATATGCTAAATTCGGCCTTGTGTGAGTTAAATAGATCAACTTTCCCACTATCTTTTGATATCTCTTTTTGTTTGTTGGAATTTGATCAGGATAAATAGATAAGTCATGATTCACCTTAGTAGGAGTATTTATAGGCTCACAGGCAGAGTTACTAGTTTCAGCTAGGAGATCCAAAGTATACTTTCTTTGGAAAAGAAATAGGCCTTACTTAGATCGAGAGACTCTAATGCTTAGTAAGTATTTGAGAAGCCCTAAAATCCTTTATCTTTAATTCTTTGGCCAAATAGCTTCGAAGTTTCTCAATCTCATCTATGTTACTATATGTTACAATCATATAATCAACATAAACAAGAAGCACGGTAATATCACTATGATCATGTTTATAGAACAAGGTATGATCTGCCAAGGCTTGCTTGAATCCATGCTCCTTTATTGCATGACTCAAATTTCCCAAACCATGCCCTTGGTGATTGCTTTAATCCATACAATGCCTTTTTTAGTTTGCATACCTTTCCTTCTCTCAGTGTAAATCCTGGGGGTGGATCCATAAATACTTTCTTTGTCAGATCACCATGAAGGAAAGCATTTTTCACATCAAACTGTCTAAAGGCTAGTCCAAATTAACGGCAAGTGATAGCATGACGTGAACAATATTCATCTTGGCAACTAGTGCAAAAGTGTCTTGATAATCAATATTATAGGTTTAGGTATAGTCTTTTGCGACCAGCCTAGTCTTGTATCTTTCAATCGTCCCATTTGGCTTGTATTTGATAGTGAATACCCATTTGCGCCCCCACAGTCTTCTTTCCCCTTAGTAACTCGATCGTTTCCCAAGTAGAATCCTTTTGGAGAGCCATCATTTCATCTATCATCACATCCTTCCACTTAGGATTTTTAAGGACTTCCTGAAAATGACTATGAATAAGTACAGAAGACAGCCGAAGAGCAAATGTTAAGTTAGCCTTAGACAAACAGTAATCGCATATAAAGTCAGAGATTGGGTAAACAACATTGGAGGCTTTTGAGAAACCAAATCTATTAGTTGCCTTTCTTTCGCAAAGAGGGTATCTTCCATTCTGATCAATATTAGAATTGAGAATGGAATTTTCAAGAGATTCAGAAGAATAGGTACATACCTTAGTGTCTGTCCTAGAAGATTCATCCGATGACATGGTAGTATCATCAAGGGAGGTACTAGAATTAAGAGGTAGAACAGTGATATCTTTCTCCTAGAATATCCTTTCTCAAAGAAACGAGTCTCTCAGGCATCTCACCATCCGGTTCAATTTTATGTTCCTCAACAGATGGATCATTTAAGACTAAAGATCTCCCATTTTCCTTAATGTATCCGTACCTAAGGTCCATATCTGTTTTTCTCCCAACCATAGTTGTTCCTTTTCTTTACTACCAATCTCCCTTTGAAGAGGAACCATAGATATATCGCTAAAAAAATAGGACTCATTTTCGCACAATTAAACATCCATTGACACATAATAAGTCCCTGTAGGAGGATGAAAACATTTGTATCCTTTTTGTGAATTAGAATAGCCAAGAAAAACACATTTGATAGCACAAGGATCAAGCTTATCTCTATGAAGAGAATGAACATGAACATAGCATATACCACTAAAAATCTTAGGACAAATATTAAGAGCAGATGGAATAGAATGAAATCTAGATAACATCCTTAAAGGAGTTTGAAAATCAAGAATCTTAGTGGGCATTCAATTGATAAGAAAAACAGCAGTCATGACAGCTTCAGCCTAAAAACGTTTTGGAACATGCATAGTAAAACATAAGGCTCGAGCCACTTTAAAGAGATGGCGATTCTTACTTTCTGTTATGCCATTTTTTTGAGGTGTATGAACACAAGTTGGTTGGAAAAGAATGCCATGTTATGTCATAAAATTAGCAAGAGATTGATTCACAAGCTCACGACCATTGTCAGAATGAAAAACTTTAAGTTTAGTGTTAAACTGTGTGAGAATCATGTTGTAAACTTGAGGAATATAGGATACATCACTCTTAAATTTCATCAAATATACCTAACTGACCCTAGTACAATCATCAATAAAAGAGACAAAATATTTGTCCTGAAGCAAAAGGAGTGAAAGGACCTCACACATCAGTATGAACACATGAAGAAGGATTAGTGTTTTCATTAAAATTAATTTAAAAGGAACACAATGGTTTTTAGCATAAATGCATCGTTCACATTTTAAACTAGAAACATAAATTTTGAAAAATAATTGAGGAAACAATTGTTCTAAATAAGAAAAAGATGATGTCCCAACTAACGAGTGCCAAAGAATAATTCTCTCTCTATCATATTTCTCTCTCTTTGTTTGGAAGTCATGAGTAGATGCTGCTATGCCTCGATTGTCCTCCAAATAATAAAGACCCTCCCTCTTCTTATCAATGCTAATTGTCATCTTTGTAAGATTGTCCTGGAACACATAATGAGTAGAGTGAAAAATGACAGAACGATTGAGATTCTTTGTTATCTTGCTAATGGAAAGAAGACTGTTTGAAAGTTTAGGTGCAAGTAAAACAGAGGACATAAAAAATATCGGAGAAAGAGATACATTTTCAGCCCTTGTGATCGGCATAGAGTTCCCATTAGCAACCTATATGGACTTAACTGGTGGAGATGTTAGAGAATCAATAATAGAAGAGTTACTAGTCATATGATCAGTGGCTCCTGAATCAATATTCCAAGTATTAGGACAAGTAGAAATAATAGATAAACCAAAATTTTCTTGGGAAGATACCCAAGATATATGAGAAGTAGAAGATAGAGTAGTATCTATAGCAGTAGCATTTTGAGTAGAATTTGTGTTTTTTCTCTCAGCTTGCTTGAGTTCATACCATTCTAGATAGCCATGCTTCTTCCAGAAAATATCAATTGTACGTGTATTCTTATGGCGATAGGTACAAAACCGAGATTGAGAAACTATAGAAGTGCTCTTTTGGACAGTTAGAGCTGAAGCTTCAGAGTGGATTCTGCCCCCATGGTAACCTGTCATTGAACTTCTCGATGAACCATGGAGTAGGCTTCTTCTAACCTTGGTAGAGGAAAAGTAGCTAGAACACGGCTACTAACTTGATCTAAATTATGATCAAGACTAGGAAGAAAGATATAGACCCTATCTTCTGTCATACATTTGCTATATTTTTCAATATCAGTAGCACAAGTCATATCATTTGGCCTTCGGTAAGCAATCTCCATAAAAATTGAGTTTAATTCATTGTAATATTCTGGTAGAAGCTAACTACCTCGGTGTGATTGGAAAGACTTCTTCATGAGTTCATAAACATGAGAAGAATCAGATATATCAAGGTAACTACTTTTCCCAGCATCCCAGACTCCCTTTGCCATGCCACACTGCACAAAGTGTGACATTAGATTATTGCTCATTGAATTAATGAGCCAAGATTTGATAAGTGCATCTTCGGCCTCCCATTTATCATAGCCTGGATCATCTTTTGTCGGTGCAACCTTTTTTCCATTGATATAGCCTTTTTTTTTCCTTCCAACAATATGCATCTCCAAAATCTTAGACCAGAGCTGATAGTTAGCATCATCCAATTTAATATGGACGGATGAAGGAGCATTGTGACTGGCTGTGATGGAGGTTTTCTTGCTGTCAGTATTTGCAACCTGAGGTTTGGTAGACATACTGTGGTGCGGCTAGTGTTTCAGGGAAGAAAAGAGCAGCTACAGCTAGGGTTTTGGAAAAGAAGAAAGGAGCAGTTGCGGCTAGAGTTTTTGAAAAAATTATATGACAAAGCTTTGATATCAAGTTGTTAATATGCGGAATAATGCTTCTTTCATATATTCTAATCATATATATACAAGATGCAAGGACCTATATATGGTAAATAGATCAAACATGCAGCTGTGTGTGTATTTCTAATTTAAGAGAAACTATATAGGAAATATACAAAATAGGAAGGAGGAAAGAATACAGCTCATTCCCACTAACTCATGACTTCAAAAAGCATTATTTTTATGTAAGAACATTTTTAAGAATTGTCTTCAGAAGTTCATCTACAGATCTTATTTATCTTTTATGTTTCAGAATAACATTTTCTGCTTCAGATGTTCCTTTTTACATGTTAGACAGACTAGACTCACTTGAATTAATTCAGATTAGAAGTACTACTGTATTGTCATGAGAAGCATTTACTGCAATGGAACTTTCCGTTTGTTTTCACATAAAATTTCACTAACTGTAGAACTTGAGATCCTATTTGAAACCTTTTCCCTTCGTTTATGAACAATTACAAAGTGTATGTAGCTTTTACTGAATATGGTATGTCAAAATGCAGGCACTCTCTTCCTATGTGTTCATAGCAGCCAATGTCATCCTCCATGCTTCTAATGCAAATAAATCCAGGCACTTCAATGAATTGCTTCCTTCTATAATTCCATTATTAACCTCACATCACCACAGTCTACGAGGTTTTACGCAGGTTCTTAGTGATTCATAGCATTTTTCATCCATTCATTTCTTACATCTTGACCACATGAATTCTGATATCTATCTCTGATATCCCTTTGCAGTTGTTAGTCTACCAAGTTTTTTGTAAATATTTTCCTATGTTGGACTATGGAGCCTCTGAAATGCCTTTAGAGAAAATGTGCTTTGAAGATTTGAAATCATACCTGGCAAAGAACCCTGATTGTAGGCGGTATATATTCTCTTCTTTCTCTGAAATGCTTCTTCAGAAAATGTCACTATCATAGAATATGCTTGTTGTTAACCTTTTCAATGGTACCAATTTCCCATGGAAACTCAAACAGAGTAGATATATCTTCCAAATTTGATCAACTTAGTTATTAGTTAATAATAATGTTTAAATTTTCAATTTTATTCAATCTGCCAAAGAATCCTTTTCTAGCCCAATCCCATGCATAATAGGGTGCATTATCTGATTGTTTAAATTGATTTAGCATGTATTTTTTAGCATGATTATAGGTACAAGTGGGGAAACAGTTTTTCCTCTGTTTATTTGTTTCTTATAATGGGACATTTTACTTTTAGAGATTCATGCAACATTCCAAGTCTTTATAGTGCCACTTTTGTTTAATTGTTTTGTACATGTACTAGATTTGCACCAAGAAAAAAAAAAAAAAAGAACAGACAAACAGCACTTATATGTAGGAATTGTAATCCATGTTAATACCAATTTTTTCAAAACTTCTCTAGTCCTTGAATTGATGAAGGTCAAGATTGGAGATTTAAATGAGGCTGAATAAAGATATGAAGAATTAATATTTTTTCTAAATATCCTGTATACAATAAAGAGAGTTGAAAGCGTTTGATGTTTTTGGGGGTAAACCCAAAAAGAAATATGAAATATTGGATTAATTTTCCAAGATTAATGAGTTAAGTACCTAACTGAAACTGTGAAAGTAAATATTCAACTGGTCAACTGGTGGATGGATTGGCTGTTAAACCACCTAGATAGACCAGGTTTGATCTTTTTTTTTTTCAAGAACTTGGTTAGTCCCCTGTCCCAACTGAGCTGCTGGTATGGTCTGGTTCATAAAATACTGTCTAGTACTTTTCTTAAGCTGTCTCACTCTAATTCAACGACGAAGTTTGAGGTAAAGTCAAAATGTGAGAAGTCTTTACCAGTGACCTTTCATTTGAATCTTCGAATATGTTACATTTTGTGTTTCAAGAATAGTCTTGATTCAAGCATATGATATTTTGGTGGCTTTTCATGTTCGTCAAGTAATTTGAACCTATAGGATATTTTCTATATCATTCTTCATTGTTTCCAAGGCCTTGCATTTGCTAATTTCATTTATTGTTTCTGTTTTTTAAAGCCTACGAGCATCTATGGAAGGGTATCTTGATGCCTATAATCCAATAGCCTCTGGTACTCCAGCTGGAATTTTCATCAATCGGGTTGAGGTCAATGAATTTTCTTTACCTTGATGTTTTACTCTGTATAAATTGGGATTTTATTGTATTGTTTATAATTTTGAGAAGACTAACGGACTTTAGCAAACCCTTAAGTCAACTCAACTAAGCCTCAATTTAAAGTAATTGGGGTTGCTGATCCACTTTTTTCCACTCTGATATGCAAGTGTACTAAATTCTATATAAGTTGTGACACTAGATCTTTCTAGGAAGCATGTGATTAGAAACTTGAAAACTGATTAGACAGCAATCAGATTGCTTTGCGTTGATGGCAATGTGAGAATTATATACACATTGATGCTTATCTTTCCCAAAAGATTCCCAAACATTGTGCCTGGGATATGTTATAACTCTTTAATTAATATTACATTTGGAATCTTGTGTACCTGTTATACTTGTGGTTAGTCTCGAAAGGATTGAAGTACCCAATGCACAAAAAGGTACCGTTGCCTCAACTTTTCCATAATGAATTATAACTGGAGAAGGCTATATATCAGGTGTGAGAAAATCAATTCAAATGAATTCCTGTTAGTTTATAAGTTCATAATGACCTCTCATTTAATATTTTTTATCAAATGATTTAATTGTCCATTTGTCTTCTGAAATGACCTCTTTTCATTGAATGATCTATTTTTGGGATGTCCTGTATATAGTTATTGGAGTTGACTTTCCCATAATACTTTGAATGTTTTCTCATGCTAATTCCTTACTGTATCTAATTTTGCTTTTTTTTTTTTTTTTTTGCTTTATTACTAAAAACTGTTTGAAGATGGAAAATTTTCTTCTGGACATAACTGTCATGTATCGATGTGAACTAACTTTTATTTCAATTCGTGTGAATGATGTTTTCAGCTTCTGAATTACTTATTTATTTTCTTGTTCTAATGAAGGAACTTGAGTTTGAATGTGTTCCAACATCCCTCATGGAGGAAGTGCTTAAGTTTCTAAATGTAAGCGCATGACCATTTGTTAGTGCTTTTTCTTGTGTTATTGGTATCTTAGCTTTCAGGGTTGCAGGATGTCCGGGAAGACCTCAGATGTTCGATGGCAAAGGATGTAGTGACTATCAAGAATGAGGGCTTAAAAATTGATGAAGATACTAACTGCAGGCAAACATTAATTGATGCCCAGCTGCCTAAAGAAACATCATTTGATTTCCAGAAAAAGCTTACTCTCTCTAAACATGAGAAACAAGACACTGATTCTGGCTCTGTTTTGGGGAACAATGAAGCATACAAAAAACTTTTAGGTACCATACAATGAAAAATTACATGAACAGAAAAACACAAATTTTTTGCTGCTATTGCTAATACACTAGTTAGATTATGCTATTATTTGCCCCTTATTCATCCTCTAACTTGGACGTGGTTTGTCACGAGTGCACTTTTTTTTCCCCCTTTGGCTGATTTGCTTTCCTCAGCCTCTGTTTCTTACTTCAACAATGCCCTGAGCTTGAGTAGCGTCTAAACTTGACATCTCTTTCTCTCTTAAAAGTCCAAACTACAATAATCTATTTCCATCATTGTTACTTTCACTGGAAATATGATTAGATTCCATTTGGGCCTTTTTCGGGCTGTGCATTTTTCACTTTTGCCGCTTATTTCTTTCTGTCTTTTTCCCCCTTTGTTTTGGGCTTTAGAGAACCGCTAAATCAATAGCGTCATTTTGTATTCTGATAAATGTTACAGCCAATAGCAAATTTTTTGTCGTGGAATTGGATTTAGTGTCCACTGTTCTTGGAATAAAACATGCCCTAAATTCCTTTCTATAAACTGGTAGAACATAGCAATTGTTTTTTATGAAATGGAATTTTAGGATTCCAACTGTGAAATGAGCTCTAGATTCTGCACATACTGCCTGTCTTTGTGCCCAGAAGTTTAGTTAAGCTCGAATTAGACTGTTGATTTTTTTTTTCCTGTTTCTTTCTTTGTTGGTTTTTTCTTTTTTAGTTTGATTATTAGATGTCCTTGACTGGAAGATTTCCTATGCATGATCTAGTTCTTCTGTTTATCTCAGTTATATCTTAGCGGATGCAGATGCATTAGATTTTTGCTCATTAGACCACTTTCAATATAAGTGCTAACACTTGTCTTGTCTTGTGATTATTGTGGCTGCTTAATCGATGTGTTTACTGTGTGGAATGCAGAGATGGAAAAGGAAGATGAGCTTCTTGATCAGTCTTTTCAATCCAGAAGTTTGACCATGGAAAAAATAAGAGCAAGTCGACAACATTTTATCCTTGTCGCATCATTGCTTGATCGGATACCCAATCTTGCTGGGTTGGCACGGACATGTGAGGTATATTGTAGTTGCTTTCGATTGTCCCTTAAAATTGATGGCTTTGTATCATTTTAAGCAATTCATCAATTTTATTTACCTTCTGTTTGTGCAATTATGTTCTTTGCAGGTATTTAAGGCATCAGGACTAGCCATTGCAGATGCAAGCATATTACGTGATAAACAATTCCAGCTCATCAGGTTTTGACTATAACACACTATCATTTGCTATTAGCTCTGTCTTAATTGCTGTTTTGTGTTGTGTGTGTGGGCCATTATCTGGGGATAGTAATTTTGAGTTGCTTAAGATTCACATATTATCTATCAAAAGTTGGGTCCTAATCCTATCACAATGGCTTTCATAAAGATTGCAACAAGATGTTTGGATTGGGCATTGCACTTCTAAAATTTGAATGTGAAACAGTAGCAGAAATTCATGTGAATATGGTCTGTTATGTTCACCATGTTTGAGTCAGAGCCAGACAGATATTGTTCGCCTCTCGTAAGATCGAGGAAGTTACCTGACTTTGTTTAAGAGTTTAGATGCACCAGCCATCATGTGATCGCATTTTTTTTTTTTGTGAACTTTGCTCACGTAGATGCTATTGATTTCTGTAGTCAATAAATTAACAGTTCTCTATTCATTGTTTATCTGCATTTTTCCAGTGTGACAGCAGAGAAGTGGGTTCCTGTCATAGAAGTCCCAGTGAAGAGTGTGAAGCATTTCTTAGAGAAAAAGAAGCGAGATGGCTTCTCCATATTGGGATTAGAACAAACAGCAAATAGTGTACCGCTCGATCAGTATGCCTTTCCCAAAAAGACGGTAAATATTCTCAATAACAGCTCACAGTTTCTTCAATGCTCAGTTCGGTCATGAAGGGAGATCTTTATATGCAGTCAACTATCTTGAAAAGAAAATAAATAAATAAATAAATAGAATGGTGTGTGAGCTAAAAGGTACTAGTAAGAAGAAAATTCACATAGCATGGTTCTTAGGAGAAAAAAGAAAACCTATACTCCATTTACTCTTGACATACGACTGTCAATTGATTGTTGAAAATCTTCAGATTGTTCTATTTCTTTCCTGAAATCTAGAGACGTTTGCTTATTTCATCATTTTGCTAGGTACTGGTCCTTGGACGTGAAAAGGAGGGCATACCGGTGGACATTATCCATATGCTGGATGCTTGCATTGAGATTCCCCAATTGGGAGTAGTTAGGTCGCTTAATGTTCATGTTAGTGGGGCAATTGCCCTCTGGGAGTATACTCGACAGCAAAGATCTCAATAATTATTCGCACTCAAAAGGATATTTAAAAGGAAACATACAACAGGAAGCATACTCTATATGATGCCTTCAGTGCATATGAACTGTCAGGCTGACTTTATAGCTTATAATCGATTCTTTTCTGTAATATTTTTTAGGTGCAATTTTGTGACCTCAGGTCAGGTTGTCTTCTCATTGCTGCTCTTTGTTTAAATGAAGGGAATATAGTCTGAAGAAAAACAAGATGCCTATTATCTGTGATTTTCCTGTTTGTATACCAGTGATACTATTCACTTTTAACATACAATAGATATAAACAATCCATTGTTGGCTCAATTAACCTGCATGATCTATTGACTTTACACATTATGAATCAAATATACTAGAGAGAAGTACCAGCATGCATGTAACTCGTACTGAAACAGAAAGTTAGGGTTAGGGGATAGATGAGCTTTGGATCCCAAGTCCCAACGATGCCGTTTGTGCCTGTTGGACTTGTTTTACTAGCATCATCATCATCATTATTATTATCGTCCAATCATCTGTTTGTATATTTTTGTAAAAGCCTTGCAAGCACTTGCAATTCCAGTTACAGTGACGGAGGGTAGATTAACTGCATGAACTGAAGGAGGTTAGAAAATAAGAATAACATGTATGTGAAAACGGGAAAGGTGTTGATAGCTGAAATAAGCTTCGCGGTTTTTGATAGCACATGAAATTAACATGCCTTGCTTTGCTCTCGGCGATTTGAAGAAGAGCAAAATTGATGTCAAGGTTTATCTCACTTGACTGGCAAGGAAAAGAAAAAGGCTCATTGCGAAGCCCCTTCATCACAGGGACATGTCTTCCATTTTCACCTTCATTCTCTTCTTTTTGTTTCTCATAATTGTTGATCCTCTAATAGCTGAAGCAAAAGTTCTCATTATTCTGATGGACGATGAACCTGTTTTCTCTTTCAAATCAAAGCTAGCCCACCCTAGGTATTCTTTTTTTTTTTTTTTTTTCCCCTTTTTTACTGGATACTGACTTATTTTACGCTTGGTTTCATTCTTTTTATTTACTTTTCCTGATACTGATTTGTTTTAACCTCTCTGCAATTTCTGTCTTTTATACGTTAGGAAATCAGATTTGACTCTGGATAGGATTGAGGAGGTTTCTTTGGCGTACAAAGAGAGATTAAGGACTAGCCATGACATTTTCTTAGAATCTCTGCTTCAGAAAGATACCTACAACAAGCTCTATAGCTACACTCATTTGATTAATGGGTTTGCAGTCAAAGTTCAGTCTAAGGAGGTATTACAATGTAACAAGAACTTGCTTCATCCATCACATATAAAGCTTATACAGTTATTAATGAGTAATGAGAACAAATCATATTAGTATTATAGTTGAAACTATATACTCGTGCCATTTATTTTTGATAAGTTTCCTGTCGTTTGCTATTGAACTCAACATGTTTTTCCCTCCTCATATGTATTAATTGGACCAACAAGTGAAAGAAATGGGACATTTTACAGGTCCTCAGAACTCTGAAGAATGCAACAGGAGTTAGAGCTATCCATGAAGATGTCAAAATGGAGAAGTTTACGACACACACACCCCATTATCTTGGGATTCCTGCTGGTGTTTGGCCAACTTTAGGGGGAGCAGAGAGTTCTGGTGAGGGGGTAACAATAGGTTTTATTGACACGGGAATAAACCCTTACCATCCAAGTTTTACTGGTGGTTCCTCTACACGATTTACAAACAGTTCCACATTCAAAGGAAAATGTGTCGCCGGAGAGCAGTTCCCTTCAACAGCATGTAACGGCAAGATAGTTGGGGCACAATATTTTGCTCGTGCAGCAATAGCTGCTGGTGATTTCAATGCATCACGCGATTATGCGTCCCCCTTTGATGCTGATGGTCATGGAAGGCAAGTCATTCCAGCTCGGTTGCCTTCTTTTTGCATGATAGCTTTTATCTTTTGCTATCATTGAGTTCTTTTAACTTATAATTGTTGTTTGTGTGGCAGCTTAGCAGATCAGGTTTCTTTTATACTGAGCTGAAACTCATTTAAGTTTGTATTCCAACCTCATGTTTAACAGCCATACAGCTTCCACAGCTGCGGGAAACCACCAAATACCAGTGATTGCCAACGGCTTCAACTATGGTTATGCAAGTGGCATGGCTCCTGGAGCAAGGTAAGCAATGGTAATTTAAATTCGGTTCTATTTGCGCGCCTATTATATGCATTATAATAGTCAGTTTCCGTCATTCAGGTTTTTGCTATATAGTTTCTCTTTTTTCATAAGCTGGTACTTGTTTAATGGTTTTTTTTTTAAAAAAAAAAAAATTCTGACAATCTCCTAACTTTTGTTTTTTGTTTTGTATAGGATTGCCGTGTACAAAGCTCTTTACACATTTGGAGGCTATATGTCAGATGTTGTGGCTGCTGTGGATCAGGTTTGATAATTATGCAACTTGAACTTTGTAACAATGGATGAACTTAGAGAGCTTTACTCGTCTACTTCACAAGATTTTAGCTTACAAGCTTGGATCTTTGTCGTTTAATTAATTAACTCAATACCTTGGATTTCAAATTTACTGAAGAAATTATCAACTTACTCTAGGCAGTGGAGGATGGAGTTGATATATTAAGCCTCTCCATAGGGCCATCTAGTGTCCCTTCTGGTCCTTCTGCCTTCCTTAATGTGCTAGAAATGGAGCTTTTATTTGCTACAAAAGCTGGAGTTTTTGTTGTTCAAGCTGCTGGAAATGGTGGCCCTTCTTCCAGTTCAATCCTTTCTTTTAGCCCTTGGATCACCAGTGTAGCTGCCTCCATCATCGACCGCAAGTACAACAACACAATCATTCTTGGGGATGGACGAAGCTTCTCTGGCACTGGTCTTGCCCGTAATAATCCGACTCTTGCTTCCCTTGTTTGTTAACCATGCATGTTCGAACAAATAAGATGGTGTGGCTTGGTTTGCTGTTTAGATTTTCAATCATCCATTCTTGAAATCATTAGTATATACTACTCAAATTGCTATAATTCTCTAGTTTTGGATAATTATGCAGCTCCAACAGCAGGAGAACTGCCTTACCATATAGCTGCAGCAGCCGATGTCTCTCATAGGAACATCACCAGTGCTCTAGAAGTTGAGAGCTGTCAACATCCAGAACACTTCATCTTATCTTTGGTTCGAAACAAGCTGATCATCTGCACTTATACCTTTGACTTCGAATATGAAGCTGCAAGCATTGCAGCTGTTGCAAACACTATACAGAAGATAGGGGCTGCAGGTTTTATAATCACAATGGATCCTGACATTGGTTCCGAGCAAGTCAAGAGTACCACAATGACTATGCAAGTCTCTGCCATTATATTGAACAACATGCAATCTTCCAGAGTATGGCACATTATCATTCTATAAGATTTCATCACCATACATGTACTCATTCTGAATTTTTTAGCGCTCTGTTTATCCTTTTCTTTTTCATACCAAATACGTAGTCTTCCCACAGGACATGTGTCAGTATTTCTCATGAATGTCATTTATTCGTAGTTCTTATTAAATTTCCTAGATTAATGGACGACTAATGAAGTGACATTTATTCAGGCTTTGTGGGAGTATTATAACTCAAATACTATCAGGAGTAATAGTGGACAAGCTGTGGGTTTTGCTGCTAGGGCAAGAATATTGGACGGAAGGCAAGCATTCTTTACTGGGCAGGCACCAATTGTTGCATCCTATTCATCTAGAGGTCCTGATGTGAACAATGCACTTTTGCAAACTGCTGATGTCCTCAAACCAAATGTCATGGCTCCAGGATCCTCCATTTGGGCTGCTTGGAGCCCCAACAGTGAAGGAGATGCTTCTATCAAGGGTACGGACACTGTTTTAATGTTTTTGATGGTTAAGCAGCATCACATATACCCCTCTAAATATGGGATGACTGGTCTTACTTATCCACGTAGTTGTAACAGAGATTAAGATACAAGACTTGATATCTTTATCTTACCGGCATTATTTGTAGAAGCAATGTCATTTTAAGTCCCTTAAATTTGCAGACAGACACTCGTTCTACTTTCAAATGCATCATCTGCTTTTCAACATCAAAATGATGATGATGATGTCGGTATATCTCTGGGAAGAGAAATAGCCAAGTTCATGCTATCATTCTTCTTGGTTTTTCTTTTTAATTGATTCATGCTATCATTCTTTCAGGACAAAACTTTGCACTTGTATCTGGTACTAGCATGGCTACTCCTCATATAGCTGGTGTTGCGGCTTTAATCAAGCAGAAGCACCCCAGGTGGAGTCCTGCAGCTATCACATCAGCAATGATGGTGACTGCCAGCGCATTTGACCACTCTGGCTCTCCCATTTTAGCACAATTGACTCACCAACTAGCTCCTGCTACACCATTCGATTTTGGTGCTGGATCCATAAACCCAGCTCGAGCCATCGACCCAGGACTCATATTCAATGCTCGTTTTGAACAATATGTCCAGTTTCTTTGTGCTGTTCCAGGTGTAGATGAAGGTTCTGTAAGACGAGCAGTAGGAACTGGTTGCCCAACAAAGAGAAGAGCATGGTGTTCAGATTTGAACACCGCAAGTGTGACAATTTCGAATCTAGTTGGGTCAAGAAAGGTGATTCGACGTGTTACAAACGTGAGTAGCAGGAATGAAGTTTATTGGGTGACTGTGAGGCAACCATCAGGTGTAAACGTAACTGTCTCCCCTCAAGTTCTTATGATAAACGGTAATGCTTCAAAGCATCTTAGGATTGTGTTGACGGCAATTAAGGCAACGAGAACTTACACATTCGGAGAGATGGTGTTGCATGGAAGCAGAAAGCATGTTGTTAGAGTTCCTATAGCTGTTTATGTCAGCACATCGTTGAAAGGTTGATTTCTCTTATATTTGGGGAGATAATTCTTCATTTTGCTTTATGTTACATTAATTCAAAAATAAACCATGAGCCAAGCAGGTTTCGAATGAAAAACAATTCTGAACAAGTGAATAAAAAGAATGTGCAATTAATTGCATACCATATGTAATATTGCACATGAAAGCATTTATGTTCTTTTCGTTTTCATTTCCTGAAGCTACATAATTAATTTTCTTTTAATGGACATGGAATTCAGAGAAACCGTATCGAAATAATTCATCTATGCCTTTGGAGTTTTGAGAGCAGTTTCAGAATAGATCTCTTCTTCTTTTGTACCTAAAAGAATCAAAATTTAGAAACATGGAATTCATCTATATTATGTCAAGAAGTGCCACTCACCACTACTTGTCTCACCTCAAGTCTTTTCATGACAGCTCTCATTGCATTGCTTGTGGATCCAGTACCTTTCTTTTTCTTCTTTTCCTTTGCTTGGAGACTTGTCAAAGATCTGCAAATATTCGGAATCAAGATTTTCCAATTGCCTAGACAAGTCGGACTAGTACTCCTGGAATATCTTGGCTTACTTGGAGCAGCAACAATCTAGCAAAGGAAAAGATTGAAATTATTGCAACTTTCAGCTGGGAGGACAAATAACAATACTATATATATGATAAGAAGAAAAAAAAATGTAAGAAAGTCATTTGTGATCAGATAGCAGAAAGTACATTAAAGGTGGTCTCTGGTCTGTTTAGAATAGATAATTCTACAAACAAAATCCAGGTTGGATATATTAACGGAATCGTAAATGTTATTGATCTACCAAAAGTTATTTAAGTAATCCAATCCAGGAATTAAATGCTACCAGACTCAACAAAATCAATAGCATAAAAATGCAGATCATGTTACCAAAATTGATATAAGGATCAAAGTTGAGCTTCTTAATTCTCCTAGATTCGTGAAAGAACTTGAGAAAAGAACAAAAAGAAGAGATTAATTATGATGTGATCTTGTAATTCTTTAAGTCTGAGTAAAGATATCATTAGACAGAGACAAAAATAAGCACTAGTCCATTACATTTGCTGCTGGTTGGTGGTGGTGGTTGTCGTTGGAAGAAACTGGCTTCGGTACCAAGGGAGAGGATGTTGCTGATCGAGCAGACTCTCGAAGGCGTTGAGAGTAGTGAAGAAGCTCAGCCCTCCTACTGTATCCTTTACCAGAATCGCCATTCTTGTGTGGTGTTAACTCTTGTTTGATGATATGATGTACGTAGTGGTGGTGGTGGTGGTGGTGATGACTATTTGATGATGATGACGATGATGACCTTCTCTTCCTTGGCCTCTCTACATACACATGCACTAGCACGGCCTTCTCCTTGCGCAACTTTGCCTGAAATAGAATCACACATGTACATGGGCCATCTTTTTCCTCAACTCTTGTACATACATAACAAACTGATCAGAGGGACAGAGAGAGGATTATACCATTTTGTTTGGCAGGATGATCCTGGCGCGGTGGCAGGCAGGAGAATGTTTTTCTCTTGTTTTCGGGGAGAGAAATGAAGATATATATATTGGAGTATGCATGTCTGTATAAATAAATATATAGTTTATTTTTTGTAGGGTTGCATGAGTAGAGCAAAAATATGGTGGTAGATAAGAACCGGCGGATGGAGATGGGAAGCCAAACAAGTGAGGCCAGCTTGCATGAAGTCTTCGGTTGGATCGAGCAACCGAACACATTGTTCCAAATTAAGAAAATTTTGATCATATAATTCAAAATCAAGCCAAATTGGATATTAATTTAAGCTCGGCAATATGCATAGTAATGTGGTAAAATAAACGAACTAGCCTTAAAACCTACGAACATGACCAAATCTCTCCCTCTATCTCAATTTTCACCTTCCAGCAACCTTCTCCTTCCACATGCATGGCAATCCAAGTCAAAGAACCGAAAGCCGATTCTAACCAATACAACTGTAGAATAAAAGAAAAAGCTAAAGACACTAACTAACATGGAATTGTTTATTAATTTGTTTTACATTCATGATGTGGTGAGACTATATTTCCTTTGCCTTTAATTAGTCCCCTTGGCTAACAAGTATAAAAAACCACATCAAAAATGAAAGTGAAAGGAAGCACCGACATAAAGAATGTTGATTAGAGTTGATTTTGTAAATGAGAAAGCTCCAGAACGTACAAGACCAAAAACACATATGGAAAACCAAAAAATTCATAAGTGTTATGTGAAGAGGAGGGACAAGGAAGAACTAAGTATGAAAAACGAAATTACTAATCACATTGAGAAGAACATAAATTTTAAGCCTGTTAATTAAATACTAGAAGCAGGCTGTGTAACTCAATAGGTTGATTGGACCTCCAATAAATAAATAAATAAAATACTGCAAGCAAGCTAATTGGCTCGTCGGATGGAAGTTTGAGCTTCTTAATTTCAAATTTTAGATGGAAGGTTTGGTTAGATAATTCGATTTAATTGAAACTTATGCAAATAATTTTTTAAATTCAATTTTAATTATATTCATTATATTTAGATAATGCGATCTAATTAACTTCAATTACTAACAAAAATCCTTGTAAAACAAAATTTTGATGATGCTCCGCTAAAATTTTAAGTCATTAGAGAATCACTTGGCAATCATGCAAATCTTTTGTAAAAACCCTAATTAAAATAGCATATTTGGAAAAGGAAAAAAAAAATAGAAAGAGAAAAATTTGTAAATCTTATGGTTTATTTATTTATTTTTAATTTTTTAGTTATTTTAAAAATTAAAATTAAAGATCTTATCAAATTTGTGTTGCACATAGCTAATATTTTTCAACTCAACAAGTTTTAATATAACAAATAGATTTTTTTTAATAACTGAAGATAGTTGGGTTGAATTGCTTAAGTGTAACTATTATAGGGTTGAATTTGTAAAATTATTTACACAAAAGTTAAGTTGCCAATTTGATGCAAATATAGGGTCTTTAAATTGAAATTTTCCAGGTAGAATTTGTAAATAATTATTAAGGTGGATCTCACTTTTACAAAAGTGAAGGAGCAATGTGTCTTTATCACCTAATACGTTATGTGAACACGACATTAAAAATATGCAATCAATTTTTTTTTTTATTGGACAAATAAGAATGGTTTTGTTATCTTTTATTTTTTAAACTGTTTTTAGAAAGTTATTTAATAGTGTTGTTTAGTTTTTCTTTTTTTAAAAAAATTAACATATAATGCATAAAGCAAGGGAAATATTAGTGTCCGAAGCTAATTAAGAAGACAGGAATTAGTAAACGGTGAAAAAAGAAATATGTTAGGAACAACGAGGGAAAGAGATCATAATTTTCCAAAAAAAGAAAAGGAAAGGGTGGAGATTCACAGTAGAGATAACTTCTGTATTATTAGGAAAACAAATTTATTTTTGGTCAATTTTTCCTATATTTGAAAAAAATATGGTTCTTATTCAAAGAAAAAAATATAGATACAATTAATCAGGTCAATAGATGATAGTCTCTAATTTCTACAAATTTAAACAACGTGAGAAGGAAATTGACTTTTTACTACAAACCCATGTAAAAATTTACCGCTAGCGAAGCTTGGCATAAAAGAAGGGGAGCAATCCTTCTTTATTTTTTGTACTTCACACTTTAGTCCTCATACTTTTCACTTTTTATATGCTTCCATAAAACTCTATTAATTGTCTCCAAAATTTTCTTATTTCTTATCTATTAAAAAATTAGCCTCCTTGATAAATACTTTATATATCTATCTTTGCCACTGCTAGAGGAAAAAAATTGCCCTTTATAATTTAACCGTATACGTAATTATGGGTGCAACTGGCCAATAGTGAAACACAAAAAAAAAAAAAAAAAATGAAGGGTAGTGCCTAGATGTATTAAATCTTTTTACTGAATAAGTGATTTGTAATCTATTACAAAGAAAGAATTTCAAATCATGAAACATAGATCTTACCACAATTAATGGGAGAATTGTGATTATGAAATTAAGTGATTAATAAAACCCCAGTTGCATTTTGTCACATTAATTAATAAATAATTTTAGTAAAAAAATTAAATATATCTAATATTATCCATTGATTTTTTTTTCTTTGCAAAGTCAAAAGGCAAAATAAAAATTATCGATCTATCTATCATTTTTTACAAACCATGAATATGGAGGGCAAATCTATAGTTGAAGGATTAAAATAGTGAATGTGATGCCACACGGATTTTTCAAAATAATATTCATGATGGATAGTCTATTCAAACTAGACCTCAGTGTATATATGATGAAAAACAAAACAAATATATAAGTGAAATTGATTTATATAAAAAACAATGAACTGTCAAATTTTCCTGTCACTGTCATGTATATATAGATTCTTGGATTTTTTAAATTCTTGCAAATTCCTTTGTAGACCAACCATCACATGTCAAAAATAAAACATTACGAGTTACGTTACATTACATTAAAGTTTCAGAATGATTCAAAATTAAACTGGAGTAATGAATTAAGAAACTATACAAGATCAATCCGATGATGTGTGAGATTTCAATTATTTAGATTTATTGTATTTGACATTAAGCATCTTTAAAAAAGTTGAAAAAATAGTGATAGTTTTCTTTAAAGTCTTGCAAGCATGAAATACAAACATTTGTGTTAACGGTGCCACGAGCAAAACCATTTCAATGGTAAAGTGAGTATTTTGGGCACACGGTATAAATGATAAAAAGAGATGATTTTTTTTGTAAAATGTGTATACGTGTGAAGAAGTTATTGTAATTGAAGTTCTAAAATCTATTTTTTATGAGAGAGCGAGTGCTTTTATATAATAAAAAATAGGTTTAATGGTAAATTTTATCTCCATTGTATTATGGTTTGACAATTTTGAGGTAATAATACTAAATCATATAATTTGAACTCTAAATTATTAGAGATTGTAGAAGTGTGAGTCAAATTACTTAATCTTTGTTATTTGTAACGGTCAACTAAGTTCATCGTTACTTGAAATGTCAAAATGACGTCTTTTTGACATTTTATTATTAATTATATTTTAAAAAATATTTTTAATCCTCCTAATCTTGAACTTTTTTCTTATAAACATTTTATAAATTATATTTTATAAATATTTTTAACCTCCTAATTTTGAAATTTGTTTAAAAAACTTTTCTTATAAAATGTTATTGTAAAAAAAAAATAATACACAATTTCAAACCTTAAATAAGCATTTTATAATTACACAACACAATTTCAAGTTATAGATACTAGGTTTTCTGTTATTGTTTTAGAATCAGACTACTCATATCAACTTCAATCAGGTATTGAGGATGATAGTTATTTATCTTTTATTCCTTTAAGTATAAAATATCTATCTAAACAATTTAATTTCTGCATTTTCTCTCATGACAAAACTATTCGTAAATTAGCTAATCTGATTAGATTTAAATCTTTTACATAAATATCATTCACATTATCTATGGGAAGTTGTCTAAATTGATGCACTTTTATTAATTTCTTAATAAAGTTGAAATTATAAAAAAATAAATTTTGGGTAAAATCAAATCAAATCTTCCTATCGAAAATTGTAATAAAAAAAAATGTTAGCTGTTAAGATTTTTTTTTTTTAATTATGATCCTATATCTTGTGTGTATTTTAATAAGTTTTTTTTTTTTTAATTAACGTTAAGAGTAGTTTTTGAAATATCACTCTTTGCAACACCTTCAATAATATTATTAAAAAAGAAAAAGAAGGCCTTAAAAGATTCTAGTAGGTAGTGTAATAAAGCTAAAAGTCGAATTAGTCAAACCTTTACATGGTAAGTAAAAGCTCCTTTTTGAGTGTGTCTCCATCTCAAGGATTTAATGCCCTCTCGGCACATCACGCCAGCGCTCTACATTTGTTGAGCATCTTTCTTTGATTCTCTTTTCTTGTTTTTGCTGCTATTTCTTTCCTTCTTTCTTTCAGTTTCTTGCTAACCTTTTCTCTTCGCTCTCTGTTTGTTTGTTTTGGCATAAGCTAGGCAACCATGAATGCTCTTGCAGCCACCAACCGCAACTTTCGCCATGCAGCTCGCATTCTTGGTCTGGATTCTAAGCTTGAAAAGAGCCTTTCTATCCCTCTTAGAGAAATCAAAGTAATTAAAAAACCATTTCTTCACTTTCTCGCTATCTTGATTATTATTATTATTTTAATTTAACATGGAGTTTGGTTTTGCAGGTTGAGTGCACCATCCCAAAAGATGATGGCACTCTTGCTTCTTATGTTGGATTTAGAATCCAACATGACAATGCTCGTGGCCCAATGAAAGGCGGTGTTAGATACCACCCTGAGGTGATTTTCCCTTTCTCTCTGTTGCAACTTGCATGTGTTGAAATTATCTATGAAATTATTTGGTTACTTGAGAAGTGAATTTCACAATCACATGGTTTTTAATGTGCCTTCTTTTTGCTTGGAGGTGTGGATGTGTTGGTCCAAACAATAGAACGCATTCTTTCAGCAAAAAGGACAACAAAAAATGTTCTTTGTCTTTGATTCATGCATGAGTATTGTTTTGATTGGTTAATTTGTAGATGATGCTTTTTTCATGGATCCAAGCTTTGGTTTTTTGTCTAACCAATTTGATTCAAATATTTGATTGTTGTGTGTTTGTCAGTAAATATGAATATAACATGTTTGATTAAATAGATAACGTTATCTGATTTTTGTATTACACACTCATGCTTCTCTTGTTTGTTCTTAATTTTAAATGATTCGCCTACTTCACTTGTCATTCTATATATATATATATGGCTGCTATTTCATGTGGATGGAACCCCTTACAAACTTCCGGAGCTTGATTCCAGATTAAAGAAGCTTAAGATGGAATTTATCTTACATTTTAACGGTTTCCTTGGCCAGGATATGAAAGTTTAACTATCAGCTTGTCGGTATCGGCATTTATTTGACGAGACAATCATTTCGATGTGGACAAGAATTGGCTATTATACCTTATTACAACTGTATAAACGGTTTCGGATGATGCAATTATCAAAATTTTGTTTGAATAATGGTGGATACTTTTAAGAATTTATGTTTAACTTCTTTTGTCGTCTTTCGGTTTCATTAATTATATTAAAAATCTACCTTCACCCTTGCTTTGTTTAATTTTTTATCTTGAATGCTCAAAGTTAGATTGACCGTGAATCTGTTAATTAAATGATATTCGTAGAAGGATAAAGTCTACATTGAAAACGTGGTCTCCAAGCTCGAAACTTTATGCTTCGCTCTTGATGATCTACATATCTCTTGCAAACTTCACAGAAGTTTTATGCCTAAATGAATATTGAAAAAATGAACACTTTTGATGGCTTTGTTGTGTCGCCATTTCCAATAGTGAATATGATATGGTATTTAATAGCTATCAATGAAGCTCTTAACATGAGACAAAGGAAAATTTGTTTGTAAATTTATCATTCAGCTGAACATGAAGTCTAATGCTTGGTATGGTAGAATCAAGGCTGGCAATCTCTATGAGTTCACAATACTTTAATCAAATTAATGTAGATCATCTCATTCTAGGTTGACCCAGATGAGGTGAATGCTTTGGCTCAACTGATGACATGGAAGACAGCTGTGGCTGACATTCCATATGGTGGAGCAAAGGGCGGGATTGGCTGTGACCCAAGGGAGTTGAGTACAAGTGAATTAGAACGCCTCACTCGTGTTTTCACTCAAAAAATCCATGATCTTATCGGAATTCACAGGGACGTTCCTGCCCCGGACATGGGGACTAATTCACAGGTATCCTGTACCAGGTGTAATGAATTACATTAAAGCCTTATCAAGCTTCACGTTCTAATTTTTGTTGCTCGCTCTTAAATTGCACAGACAATGGCATGGATTCTGGATGAGTATTCAAAGTTTCATGGGCACTCACCTGCTGTTGTTACCGGAAAGCCAATAGTGAGTACCCCTTGACAACAATGAGAGTAAATTTCATTTGATAACTGCATATTTTCGTGAGGAAATGGAAGGAATGTTTCTTCATTAACCTGCTGTTGTAGGATCTTGGTGGATCATTGGGCAGGGATGCTGCGACCGGCCTTGGAGTGGTTTTCGCAACAGATGCTTTACTGGCTGAATATGGAAAATCAATTTCTAATATGAAGTTTGCTATCCAGGTACTTCTTTAATGCTTTTGTGGGCTCAGGTAAGATTAAATGGATACTCTTTCTAATTCTATATTTGCAATAACTTCGAATTATATTTTTTAGGGTTTTGGAAATGTGGGAGCTTGGGCTGCTAAGTTTATCCATGGGAATGGGGGTAAGGTTATTGCTGTCAGTGACATAACTGGTGCCGTTAAAAATCAAGATGGTATTGATATTCCAGCTCTGCTAAAGCAAAGAGAAAATGCTCGAAGTTTGAAGGATTTTGAAGGCGGAGATGCTATGGATCCAAATGAATTGCTTTTTCAGGAATGTGATATTCTCATGCCATGTGCGCTAGGTGGAGTTCTCAGCAAGTATGTTGACTACTGTTGACAAGTTCCTCACAAACTGTCGTTTTTTGCCAATTGATTTTGCTGTTATAATACACTTTAACATGAATAACAAGAAAGCTATCTTCTATTGCTTACATCTATGGAAAATGGACTTTAAACATTATCCTTAGCGACTCAACATTTCTTCTTTGCTGTAGTGTTCATTTTGGAAAGCATTCATACCAATATTGTGTTTTTATTTCATTGTCAGGGAAAATGCTACTGATGTGAAGGCAAAATTCATAATCGAAGCTGCAAATCACCCAACTGATCCAGAAGCTGATGAGGTAATCTAAGGGAATACAGCTTACACCAATTTCATCATGAAATACAGTTTATGTTAAAAATTTGGATAAGTGTCTTTCTTTTGTCCAGATTTTATCCAAGAAAGGAGTTGTTGTTCTGCCTGACATTTATGCAAATTCTGGCGGCGTGACTGTGAGTTACTTTGAATGGGTTCAGGTACAAAAAAAGACCCTTTCTAGTTTCTTTTCCTCTTGACCAAGTTACCTGTGCTTGTTCAATATTTCTTAGCTTGCATCAAAGCCATAACCTAGAACAAGTTTATCATTTTTATGTATGTTCTGCAGAACATTCAAGGATTCATGTGGGATGAAGAGAAAGTGAACTGTGAGCTCAAGAAGTATATGAGCAGAGCTTTCCAAGACATCAAGGCAATGTGCCAAACTCATAACTGCAATCTCAGAATGGGAGCCTTCACTCTTGGAGTTAATCGTGTGGCACGTGCAACTCTTCTGAGGGGTTGGGAGTGATGCACATCTTAAATTCATCTCTGTTTTGCCCAAATGCATCTGCAGTTATTGACTAAAAAACTAGCAGAAGAAAAGAAATATGTACCTCTTTTTTTTTTTCCCTTTTTTTTCTAGTTTCCTTTAGGCATGAAATGTCGGTTTGGTTTTTAAACTGTTGAAGGTTAAGCATTTGGAGAAGAAATGAGAGATGATTACCCAACAAATAAATAAACAAGAATGTCAGAGACAAACTTATTACCAGTTTAAATTGTTGAGCTTTTATTTTCAATTTCTTTGAATTTCTTGTACCATTCTGCAGATCATAATGTGTGTTTAGGCTTTCTTTGGCCACTTGAGGTTTGAACAAGTTTCAGACAGAGAAGCTCGTCTACTTGACTGAAGCCTTAGACCCTAGGTTAATCTGTGAGCCAAGGGCAAAGTTCTGGTGCTAGATTGAAACAACACATAAATCGCGAGGGTAAAACCAAATTGACCTTGAATGGGATAAGACAATGCCAATTGCCCCTTTTTCCTTGGATATTTCGAAATGATGTTTTCGCTATCTTCTTTTCAAATGGTGCAACAAATTTCATTTGTTCAAACTCCATCACTCCGGTTGACTCCCCTGCATTGCATTCAGCAATGCAAAAGCAGGGAGTCAGTGCTTTGAAGGTGGTAAAGTATCCATAAAGGGAGCTGTTAGAGAAGAGAAACCTGCAAGTTTATTCTTGGACAATCATTCTTATACAAGGATAATACTATAAATTATTTGAAATTTTTTAAACTAAAAATGTTTAGAAATAACTTTTATCTGAAAAAAATCATTTAGGGATTGTGTATAACTTTCAAAAAATTATAAGGACCAAAACATAGAGATTGAAATATATCTGACCCAAAGACCACTTGAAATATTGAAAATGCCGATGTGTGCTCTTGGTTGCCTCTTTGCAATTTTTTTTTTAATTCCATGCTAAGGGTATTCTCGGAACAATATTTAGATTTTTTTTTTTTTTTTTTCCTGAACAACACACATTCTATAATAGTTTGGTACACATAAATTTGTTTCTATAATTCTGAGGATATATGGAGATGTGATTTATTTATTATTATTATTATTATTTACAAAAGAGATTAGAACACAAATTTAGGTTCTAAGAAAGGAAATTCCAATAGCATCACTCAAAAGAATATCACTAACAGTCAGGAGAGCATGATGCTAAATCTGCAATAGTGTGTAAAAAGTCAACGACATTGTTGTTTTTTTTAAAAAATATGACTAAATAAGACTATCCATCGATATTGACGAAGAAAATAAATATCCAAAAAATATACTATAACAAGCAGGTGTGCAAACTCGTAAAACAACAATAACATTAAAATAAAACTAAAAGATATAAAATGAAAGCATAAGTAGGAAATGGTTTTCTCAATAAGCTTATGTATAATATATGTGTATATTTCACTTTAGTTGCCTCTGAAATATACACCTATCCATTGTAGTTTAGTTATAATTCAATTATTAAAAAATTTATTCTAAAAAAAATGATTAAAAATTTTCAATTCTAATTCTTTGATTTTGATAAGGCTTATACTTCATTTTGTTGTCAAATTTAAAGCCAAGTGTTAGTTTATTTTTGTTATAAAAGTTTGTGTTTAATAATAATACTTCTATAATTAATTTAAATTGAATGCAGATTTGTTATTAATTTTGATATCATCAAATAAAATAAAATAAATCATTCACATATCCTATGTGATGGAACTTGCCGATGATCTTTATAATAGGTCCTTGTGCGTTTATGTGATGGAGGGAAATTACAACTCCTAATAATTTTCATGACACATCAAATATACATGAAAATTAATGTTTTTAATTTTTCTCAACAATAAAGGTGCTCTTAGGCTAGTCTTTACGCATCTTAATACTACTAATCCCTTCCTAGATATGGTTAAAGGGCATTTTCCAATGCAAGATCTCAGGTATTCTAATAATGAATTTTTAGAAATATTGACCACAAGAATTAAACATTGAATCTGATTTACAAGTCAACACTTACTTAACAGCTGACTACTCTCCTAAACCTAGCACATCAACTATGTTAAACCATGACTGAAGGAAAGCTACTCTAACAAAAGAGAGATTGTTAATTGGACTGGCTCATCCATACCCTACACTTCGACAGTGGTGAGTTCAACATCTCTTTGCGACGAGTTCGATATCATTTAATTGAATCGACTAATGTTGAGTCTAAGCTCACTGAATAACTTTATGTGAAAATATCTTTACATATCAACTGAATCAAAGTATCATACTTCTAGGAGAGGAATATAGGCATTTCGTTCGTCTCTTTTATCCACGCATGCAAGTTACCACAACTACTTCACCAAGATGTTGCTTAACGAGATTAATATGTAAGCTTGACGGAAAAAGAAATAATGTCAACCATCCAGCAGTGCTCTAAAAATTGTTGAGAAGGAAAATATTCTGAGAGGTTGAAGTGGAGGTACTTATAATCATCGCGGGAAGTTGATGAATGCTACAATTTCTTCCATTAAAATTATTATGTTAGTAAGAGTCATCTAAATAGAAATAGCAATAGATAATGTGAAGAGAGTATTCTTTTTATCCGATGTAATAAATATTTTATAAGAGTAAAAATAATTTAATATCCATTAATATAGCTTCTATATATGGATACCCATTTTATATCCTATTAATAACCATTGATTTTTTTCATTTTTTGAAAAAAATAACATGCAAAAACATAATTGCACAAAATTTATAAAGTAAGTACCAAAAAGTTTTTTGTTAACATTTGATGATCAAATAAACTTATAAATAAAGGACTAAAATGTTAAAAAAAATTAAAAGACCAAAATATCTTTTTTTAAATTTAAAAAAAAATTGTTATAACAAACTATTTTTAGCTGGTATTAAATAAACGAATAAATCCGATATGAACTAAAAATAAATTTATAAAGTAATTTCTTAGCATATATATATATATATAAAATTAAATTAATAATCCAGATAGCCAATCCTTTTTAAATGAAAATACCAAATAGAGCGAGCCTAAGGTGTTAAATTGTTATCATGCAATCCCAAGCATCGGCAAAAGAAGATTCAGTTATCATTCCACAAACATTCAAGGAAAAAACATACTGCTGTGCATTTTAACTTCAAGGAAACCTACGTTACAACGAGAATTTCACTCTTATCAAGGGAAATTACAGCAGTATAAGAGAAATCAATGCACAAAGGAAACGTTAAATTTGCCTTGTAGCTAATCATTTTTAGGGCTGGTAGATGTCTCATCCTGCCAGGTTGCTTGCCATTGTCTGTCATAGAAGGTTGTCTCCTCCACCAACTTTTTTATGGTTTCTAAATCCTCATTCTTCCGTATTAGAAGTACTCCTACAACAGCTACAAACAGCAGAGTTTTGCAGAAGAAGTTGCCCATCTGATCAACCAGACCAACACCAGTCAAGCTATCAACCAGGTAAGCCATGAAGAACCCAATCATTGCAGCACGTCCTGCATAAAATTCAGGAAACCACATTAGACAGTTTCATATGAGCCAGAAGGGCTGTTTCATCATGAACATTGAATGAAAAGCATCTTAACAAACCATTGAGAAGTTCTGCTTCAGGCAGATGGAATCTTTTCATCCATGCCCACCATGGTATTTTGGAGGTGTCAAAAACAACAGGCTCGTCGTTACTTGATGATTCTGGGTTACCCTCGAGCCATTTTCTCCTCCTAACCTCTGAAAATGTTATTAAAGCATGTCAATGGATGCCAAGTAATACTATCAAGAGATACAACATATTGGATGTCAAGGAAATAATCATGCGAATCAACTAACTACTTCGTTCATACACAAACAATTAATGGAACTGATAAGCAGCATATGGATGCTCCAGCAAGGAAGAAGGACAGCATGATCAACCATCAGGTGTTTTCCTGAAATTATAATTCTCAAGGCTAACATGTACCTAGAACCAAAAAGGACATCGTTCCAGTTATTTTCAGACAAGGACTATAAAGAATAGACTTGTACAACATTCTATAAAGTAATATATCATTAACTCCAACCAAATCAAATCTTAAACACATTTTAGCTTATGCCTCAAATATCGTAAATATAATATTCCTAAAATTGAGGAAAAGGAATGATGCGAACGCTAGTTATGCTAGTTTGCATCAGTAATAATAATAAAAGCAGTTTCAAATGCAAACCAACAATTCCTTATAAATTTGGTACCCAAATAGGGTATGAATTCAGCACATGTTTTGTATACATCTTTTGTATACAATGGGGCACTCCTTGCTGTACATAGGGAGCGCATTTAAGCAGCAAAGCTTATGCAATCAATGCAATGATGGTGCAGCGCACGGCACACCCTTTCTTTACATAGCATGTGAAATCATATCACTTAACCACCAAGAAACAATACAATACACGCTGATTCGGCACACCCATTATTCCGAGATGTTGGATGAGTAGGTCCTGTCTGGAGTTCACTAGTTGGACCCACTCATCCAGCAGCTCGCAGAATTTGGGGAATCTATTTGATCTGCCAGTCACAAGATTAAATTTTCATTCTATGCACAGAAATATGAACAAGTTGGTGGTAGAAGACCCATGACCCCAGTCAATTCCAAGCACCAATAAGGCAACCACTTTCAATTTTCCCCTTTTAAACATAAACCCACAACACAGCCACTGATATGGTCATGACTTCTTCTAGGAGACAATTTGCCTCAATTACCTAGTCCATGTCTCACCTAACAAGTACATTGCAGATTGACCATTTAGAGAACCATTAACCATCAGTAAAACAATTGCGTTCTCAATTTTACAAAATTGGCTGTTGTCTGCTGCAAGTGATGTTAAATTTTTCTTCAAAGGAAACACATTCTACAAAAACTTGCAGAGAAAAGGAGACGGCAATTCGGAATACGTCATTATTTGAATGTACAATACAAAGACCCTTTGTTTTTCATTAATTGCGTGATAACTGAATGGTTAAAACTTAAAAGGAAAAAAAAATCGCAATCAAGAACAATATTATAGCATTAAAGTATATATCTACAAACTAAACAATCCATGCAAGCTGAAGGAGGAAAAAAAGAACTGAATAATAGTCATGAAGCAGAAAATCAATCAAACTAGAATCCAAAAAAAAAAAAAAACTCACCAGCATCAATAACAGAATCCCAATCAGTTTTCCCATCTTTCTCAAACTGCTTCAAGTCCCAAGTCCCTGAAATCCATCTGGGGTCCTCAAATTTACTGACTTCAACCTTCACCTCTCCACCAGCAGCCACAGCACCATTAGAGCTCTTTTCAGCCACAGGAACTGATGATTCAGAAGACACTGGTGCCTTCTGCTCCAATGTTTGTTCTTCTACAGTGACAGCAGAGGCTGAAACTCCAGCTCCTCCATTGTCTGCAGAGGCCTTGGGAGTGGAGAGGAGAAAAGGAGGGTTTGTGGGTCTGAGAGAGAGTGTGGGTTTGTAGATGAAATGGGGCTTGGAAGAGAAGGAAGATGGAAGGCGAGTTAGCGGCGGAGAGAACAAGGACATTGATATGGACATTGTTTTGTTTCTTGGTTTGTGGAGTTGGAATTTGAGCTTCAGCTTGTGTTTGTGTCAGTTCATGGTTGTGTTTGATCTAGTTATCCTCAGCCTGACAAATGGGGTCTTTGTGCTTTCTTTGAAAATAAAATAAAACGTTAATTATTGTTAAAAAATAAATGCTTAGATTTTATTTAATTACTTAAATTTAGATGAAATAATCATTTCATATAGTATCGTAGCTTTGATTATTAAACGATCACGAATTCAAATCCTACCATAGATAATATAGGTCTGTATAAATTTTATTAATATGTTATGTTCAATTTAGAGAATAACATAAATTATATTATGAAATCTTACCTAATAGTTTAATTTTTGATAAAATGACCCTTTGACCATTACAACGATGTCGTTTGACGATGCTATTCTCTCTTTTAAATAAGGTTGTTGTTCTTAATGTGTTATGTTCAATTTATTAAAAGCATGTGATTAAACCAATTAAACAAGTATATAGCACGAAGTGGTAGTTATATGAAGAAAATATTGTTCGTATGTGGCTGAATGTTGCTTATCAATATAGAAGTAAAAATAATTTTTATTTATGAGAAAAGTTGTAAATAAAGTAAGAAAAAACAAATGAAGACATGTTAATTAAAATAAATAATAGAGAAATAAGATAACAATAAAAGATAGATTAATTATTGTTGATTCACTCTCGTTTACATTATTTACTTGATATTATTGTAATATTAACCAAAAAATCCAAAACAAATGGTTAATTACCATTTACCCACTCTCATGTGCACTATTTACCTAGTATTATTGTATGCTACTCTCTCTTTTAAATACCATTGTTGTTCTTAATGAGTTATGTTCAATTTATTAAAAGCATGTGATTCAACCAATTAAACAAGTATATAGCACAAAGTGATGGTTATATGAAGAAAAAATTGTCCGTATGTGGTTGAATGTTGCTTATCGATATAAAAGTAAAAATAATTTTTATTTATGAGAAAAGTTGTAAATAAAGTAAGAAAAAAAATGAAGACATGTTAATTAAAATAAATAATAGAGAAATAAGATAACAATAAAAAATAGATTAATTATTGTCGATTCACTCTCATCTACATTATTTACTTGATATTATTGTAATATTAACAAAAAAAATCCAAAACTCTCATGTGCAATATTTACCTAGTATTATCGTAATATCTCGTTGTATTGTTCACTTGATGTTGTTGTAATTTTTTCCCTTTTATTCATGTATTTGTGATGACATTATTATGATTTTCAGCTTTTTATTCAACCATTTAATACGAAGTTTTAACAAATATTACACTTTGGTTTCTGATTTTTTTTTTTTAAAAAATTGTTTCAATTTTTAACTTTATTTATATCGCAGTTTGATCCTTAACTATAAAGAAAAACGAAGAGAAAAAAAGAGAGAAAAGGCAACGATGAAACTCATTCTAGCCATTTTGATTATCGATTTTGGTTTCAATTTGCTTATCTTGAAGAGGAAAGTTTGTTTATGATTTTCTTAAGCCATGAAATGGTGGAATAAAAGATGGATACACCAAAATATTCGCTTGAGTTTTTGAATTTGATTTGAATTAGAATATTTTTTAGGTTTTGAGTAATAATAAAAAATAAGAAGTGAAAAGGAGAGAATTGATTGTTATATGCATAAAGCCTATGCATGGAAATCAAACACACATGGCCGAGAAACAAAAATACATGTTAAGAAGGAAAAAAAATTGAATCCATGTGTTTTATTTGCTTTTTTTATATAATCAAACTTATTGAAATCAATTTCATAGGTATTTTTTTTATTGAAAATTGACTATGCATATACACACAAAACACTTAACATTTACTTTTAATTTTTTTTTGGATATTTTGAAATTAAATTTTCTCAAATAAAATAATTAAAATTATGTTTAAAAAAATCCAATTGTATCATATTTTTCAAATAAAGTTTTTTTTTTGTTAAACGGACACACAATATATATATATATTATTAATTATTTAGTGTGTACACATGTAACCTAATATACATACTTTTAAAAATTAATCTTCTCATCGATATACAATAAAGATAAAATTTTATTTTAAATTTTTATATTGGTTGTTGTTTTATTCTTTTGATGCAATCTTGTCAAAAATAATTAAGACACAACTATTTTTTTGTATTTTTGATTAATTGAACTAGTGTTTTAGATTAATACAAATTTTTATTTAAGAATTCATATATAAAGAAAAACAAATCATATTTTTTTAAGAAGAAAATCTATTAAAAAAAACATGAGAAAGAATTGATTAAGTAAAAAATTTTGATTAAAAAATCATAAAATTAGGTGATTTTTTTTTTACTTTTGATTTTGATATATTTTAGTAGACATACAAAACGACGATCATCATGGAACTATAATAATTTTTTCAAGTGATTTTAACTATTTTGTTCGATTCATAACGTAGCGTGTACTATTATCCAAATATTTTTTGAAAATTAAGTTTTTTTAGGAAATGTTGGCTTAAAATAGTCATTTTTCATTTTTTTTGATAAATATGTTAAAGAAAATAAAATAGTTATTTTCTATTGACGATTGAGAAATGGTGGTAATGTGATAGGAGAAATGATATTATTGGTGATAATGATGATAATATTAATGGTGGAATAATATGGTAGTAGCGATGATGATTGTTAGCACCCAATTTTTAAAAAAAATACAAAAAAAGAAAAAAAGAAAAAAGAAAAGGAATCGAAAAAATATAATCAATGGATGCAATTGAAAAAAAAAGAGAAAAAAGTTATCAAAACGAAGCCAAGTTTGTGAGATGAGAGACCAAACCAAACCTAGCCTAAAAAACCTTACATATAAAAAGCCCCCCGCCTTTTTTTAAAGAGACTACTCGTTCACCCTCACAAAAATTCACCCTAGCCATGCTGCCCTTTCACTCCAATCGCTCCACCAACCCATGCAAACTCTCACCGAAGATAGCAGCCCTCCTCCGCCAAACACAAGCGAGCAGCCCCTACCCTCGACCCTCCTCCCACGAGCAGTGCCGGCAGCCATCTCAGCTCTTCGCCACCACACCAACAACTACTTCTTCACCCATGAACCTTCATACACCATCCTTCTTCCCCCACTCCTAACAACACATTCCAGCAAGACTAGGCACTCCGAAGACGCCTCCTGAGCCGTATGCCAACGCCTCGCTTACAAGCTTACCGGCGCCCCAACGCCTCGCCCACAGGCTCGCCGGTGCCCCAACGTGCGTTAGCGTCCAACGCGAACGCCAACGCCTAACTCCGGTGCATGCCTTGCCCGGCGCCCAATGCTCGCCGGCGTCCCTACGCGTGCCAACGAGCCGCCTTGCCCAACTCCAATTCCAACGCCAACGCCGGCGCCTTGCCAAGCAACCACCACTTTCACCTATCTTTCCTCCTCGGTTGATCCAAGTAATGGTCTCCATTGGGGTTGAAAAGGGTCGGATTTGACTTCGAGACGGACAAGAGAATTTATCCAACTCGTTTTCTTTATAGTAATTTTTTTATGTTTTATTTTATTTTATTTTATTTTTATTTTAACATGTATTAAATTTGATTCATATTGATATGTGTTATGTAGTTAATTAAATGATTGTGTTATGTAATAATTTGATATGTTGTTATGTGTTATTTGTTGCTTTGTGGTGATGCATGTTGTTGATTTTACGATTGGATGATGAATGATGTGTTGGTTTGAACGTTTAGGTATTTGTTGTTATTTGGAATGTATATATTAAAGTGTGTTTATATGGTGATTTTATAAAATAAAAAAAATACAACATCGAACCAAGCAAGTTTGAACTCGTTACTTGTAACTCTATTTTCGTCAAACATGATTGATTATGTACGCCAAAGCAATTAATTTCACCAATTTTTATGTTTTCTCCAACTTTGGTTCAATTGCCAATTTTTGTCAAGTTTTGCCCACATGTGCTTAAGCTATCGATTTTTACCTATATTTACCTAAGTTGTCGATTTTTACTTATTTTTGCCTAAGTCGTCAATTTAGCTCTGTTTTTGCCTTAATTGTCGGTTTTTGCCTATGATTGCCTAAGTTGTCAATTTTTATCGATTTTTGCCAAATCGTCAACTTTTGCCCATGATTGCTCGAATCGTCGATTTTCATTTATTTTTGCCTTAATTGCAAATTTTTGCCTATGATTGCATGAATTTTCGATTTTTACTTATTTTTTGTCTTAATTACCAATTTTTGGCTATGATCGCCTAAATTGTCTATTTTTAATTAGTTTTGTCTTAATTGTTGATTTGTGCCTATGATTGTTTGAATTGTCGATTTTTAATTCTTTTTGTCTTAATTGTCGATTATGCCTATGATTGCCTAAATTGTCAATTTTTGCCAACTTGTCGATTTTTGCCAATCTTTACCTATTTGTCGATCTTTGCCTATTTGTCGATTTTGCCTAATTGCCTATCTCGTCGATTTTTGCCTATTTGCTAATTTATCGATTTTTTCATTGTTTGTCTGTTTGTCTATTTTTGCCAATTTTGCCAATTTCGTCTATTTGTCTATTTGTCAATTTCATCAATCTGTTTGTTTTGTCTCGTTTGCCTATTATTTTTAAGTTTTGTTTTCATGAACGTTGTCTAAGTTGCATTAGTATCACATCCTTGCATTCATCATTTTTTAGCCATCCATTACAGAGTGAGGATAAGGTCTCCGGCTTGCCAAGTCCTAAATCACTCAACTAGTGAGCAAACGCTTGAAAAATAGGTATAGTCTTTCATCATTAAAAATCGGAAATCAAGTCGGTTTTGTATGCAATGCGAGTTGCCTTAGGCGGGACGGGATAGGGTAATCTTTAATCTTCTCTACACGTAATAAACTCCTTATCCAAAACTCCGAACGGACCGGTCATAGGGTATCCTAGTAACCATAATACTAGGTGGCGACTTCAATTGTTTTTGCCCATTTTCTCTATTTTCACCTCAACTCGCCACCCTCGTC